AGACTGGAAGCAAAGGGAAACAGCTAGCCTTGTTAGTTGTAAAGGTAGGCTAAATAAACCAGCCTACTATTACCTCTAACACACTAATTAAAACATTACATTACAACTATTAACTATTACAGCATACAGTATTCGCCTGATAGTATTGACCATTATTGTCCTGTTCTGTGCAGATATCTGTCTGAAGGAGGTTCCCTCTATAGCAGACAGCGTGTACAACATCCAGCTACTGAAGGAGTTTTCTAATGAATACCTGAACAAATGCTTCTATCTGACACCTGAGGACATGCTGTATTCTCCACCAGTACTAAAGGTGAACCCAAAAACAGAAACCAGAAAATACTTGATCCAACGACATTGTGATATTTTTATATTGACCTTGATCATTGTGTCTTTCAGAATAATGTGATGGTCTTTATTGCTGAGCTCTTCTGGTGGTTTGAGAGTGTGAAGCCAGAGTTTGTTCAGCCCAGGGACCTTCAAGAAATCAGAGATGGTATAACATGCACTTTACTTTGATATATTTTTGTAATTTACTGAACTGCTGCTGGCTCTTTCAAACAGTAGTGTACTATGTAATGGCTTGGACATACTGCCCACGTGAGCAGTGCGTGACTGCAACCTTGCTGAACTCCTGCAGCTCGCACTCCTGTGGTGTACACACAGAGAGCGTTTCTGCTGCTGCCAGCCCTCTCTTCCTACACTGAGTTTGCCTTTGATACAGTACAATAAAATCCTTGTTAACCAGTGACTGGATTCTGTCCACAGAAACACTAGAGGGCTTTTAATCTGAAACGGATACAGAAGGTGTTGAGTTAAATATGTCTGTGACATGTGATGCAGATATAGACACTGAAACTGTAGTAAAAGGTGTATATGTCGCCGGTATAATGTCAGTATGACTATGAACAGATCCTTTTCACTGTCTATTTTAGCTGGGTACTGCATGCTCTTTTTTAACTCTGAAAAAACAGGCGAGAGCTCGACTCTAGTGAATTGTCGCTGCAACCGCGCCTGAGACATGGCCTCATGCCGCCAGTGTGGCTGCTCTAACCTGTGAACATGGGCACTAAAAAGCAAGGTGTTCCGCGATGCACACGTGCTGCTGCAGATGTGGACAGTGTGTCCAGGCTGTTCCAGCATCCCTTCTAATGGCTAATCTCTCTTTCTACCATTTTTGTAGTGAGATTATTGCTGCAGCCTAAGAGTTCACGGCCCCATGTTCCCATCTCCAATGTCACTAAACGTAGTTTCCTGACATCATCGAACTCTGCTGACACCTTGACCACACCCCTGAGCCCTGACCTCAGGTATTATCCAGTAATTGTGTATTCCAGTAACACCGTACAAGAACAGTTTTACTTTCAAGTTACAGGTTTACTTAATATTAAGATAATATTGATAGATAATTAATATACTGTAGTTTTTTTTTACATCAGAGTTCTGAGAAAGACTCCATGCCTAAACCTTGTTTGCTTGTAATGTAAACTCACATGAGTCTTACCACTCATACCATAGATAGTATAGTAAAATACAAAAATATGAACAGCCTCCATGTGTGATGTACATTTAAATCTTACTTCAGTAATTTTCTAACTTTAAGACAAGTTACTTTTGGCCATTATCACAGTACTTTATGCCTCTGATCTTAACATATAAAAAATAATAATAATAAAAACTTCACACTACATTAGCGTTAGTACATAGATTATTTTAGATACACATTATTAGAGTTTTATTAGGAAACCTTTCTCAGTATAATTACATTTTTTTTTCATTTCAGCAGCTTAACTTTAAAACTCATATCTCTTTGTTCTTCCCTTACAGCACAAAACCAGACTCATTAAGCCCTTCTCTCTCTTTACTGCCGCTGAGACAGAGACAACAGAAAGTGGCTGAGGAAAGCACTTCAGGTAATATAAAAAAATGACTCAGCCTCCTCATGTCACAAACAAATTCTTTAAACACGAAGATAGAGAGTAGGAAGAACTTCTGATTGTTCTTTGAAATTGAAATGCACCTATGTTGTATCGTTCCTTATTTGAACGTCCACTTCAAACAAAAAAACAAGGTACTTGATAAGTTGTTAATTAAATAATTTCACCTAATGTTTAGTGTTGTAACATTTCAAAGTAGTACACTTCTTCTGTTATATCAGTTGTTTGAAGTCAGTTTTATATTCTATCTTGAGAGTTCATTCCCCAAGTGAAGGTTATGAAAATCGTCGCAATTAACTTAACATGTTTGAGAAGTCCTTTTTGTAATATGGATCATATGTTTTCTTTGTACAGAACTGAGAAATAGGTCCAACTCTATGGCGCGTACAGATACAGGCTCAATACTGGCCTGGCCGGAGAGGAGGCCCAGGTGAGTAGTGTGATTACAGCCTTCACAATTACTGTACTGACTATAGTTGCATTTCATATGTCAGCAGGTTCAGATATAACAGACAACGGTTGTTTCATGATTCATTATCCTTAGCTCACATTAATCGATTACTCCCTCTACCCCTGTGCAGGCCTTTATCCCAGCCGGGGCCCTACGCTCTGCATTGTCCCCTGGAGGATGATGCAGACAATATTAGCCTAGCTCGCTCCATCAGCAAAGACAGCTTGGCCTCCAATATTATGAGCATCACCCCAAAACACATGCTGGGGACGTGTCCTCAACTGCCTCAACACCGACTGAGTGGTCAAAGCCTGCTTAGTCACATGCGCATAGAGGATGAGGAGGAGGAAATAGAAGAGGAGGAACTGGTTGCTGTAATCCACCCGTCTGTATTTTCTCGGCGTCGACTTGGGAGTGACATGGAACAGGATGAGCTGGAAATCCAGAGTGCGACCTCCACCTCAAGGGTTTCTAATACTCGTTGCTCTCCTCGTCTTGACATGGGTCCCTTTACACCCGACCGCCAGGCAGACAGCTACTATCTGGAGCCTTTGATGCCTGCCATCCCTAAGCCAGCCAAAGAGAAGAGCATCAGCCTGAACAAGGAGGAGGAGAGTGGTGAGAGTCGCTGTAGAGGAGCAGCAGCAGCAGCAGCAGCTGCTAGGAAAGCAACCACCAATGCTCCAAGCACCTCACAGAGGAAATCCCCTGTAGCTGAGTCAAACAGAAGTACCTTTACACCCATACCTGTGGCAGAAGCATTCCCTAGCTCTCTGAGGCCACCCACAGAGGGGTCGATAGGCATCTCTCCGTCTGGGAACAAACAGTCCCATGGCTTTTTCCTTCATTTGTCAGGAGAGCCAGAGCCCCAGAGTCCTTTCTCCACTGCGATGGAGGTTGGGCACGACTCTGACTCTGACATTGCAGACCTTGAGGAAGATGAGGAGGAGGACGATCAGCTGGAGCTGACTAAAGAGGTGGTGAAGAGAGGAAAGGGAAAATACTTAGAGGAAGGAGAGGTGTGTGAGTTTGGAGAGGGAGATGGTGAGTCAGTGAAACTGAGAGAAGACTCGAAGGTTAGTGAAAGGGACGATAAGGAAGACTGCAGTGGACGCTCAAGTCCTTGCCTCAGCACCATATCCTGGGCGAGCAGCTGCAGCGCTTCAGGCAGCACCAGTGTCAAGATGACCAGCTTTGCAGAGAGAAAGCTCCTTAAACTTGGTCTCCGTGATGGATACTCAAGTACCAGCAGCTCTCAGAAGACCACACCAGATGGCTCTGAGGTTGTCCCTTTCCCTCCCTGGCAACTGAGGAGTGACTGCACTTCTAGCTGGACAGGCAAGGAGCCTATTTCTGTGCTGGGGAAGAATATTGTGGGGAGTCCCTCAGTAGTGCCTTCAGAGCTGCTGCAACTTCACATGCAGCTAGAAGAGCAAAGACGTGCTATTGAGTATCAAAAGAAGAAGATGGAGACCCTATCGGCGCGGCAGCGACTAAAGCTAGGGAAAGCTGCATTCTTGAACATTGTTAAGAAGGGTGGGGGGAAGAGTGATACACTTCCCCTGCCCCTGAAACACTCAGAATCGGCAGAACTAGCTGACAAGAGTAGAGTGAAGACCCTGTCCTGCAGGGATGACTCCTGTCTTGATGCTCTGAAGGTCCAAGCTAAGGCAGGTCAAACAGAGGGAGGGCAGATGAAAAGAGACAACAGGTTAAAGACCCTGTCCCAGGATAATGTGGCTGAACCTGACTTAAATGAGTGTTCCCACTCCATAGATTTACTCAATGAAGCTATTAGTTCCATTCAGCACCAGATGATGCAGCTCTCTTTGCAGCAAGATCTGCTGATGAAGCGTGTGGTGTCACCTCCAGAACGTGTAGAATCCGTCCCGAGCACAACGCAAGACACAACCCCAGACACAACCCCAGACACAACCCCCGTCACAACCCCCGTCATAACCCCCGTCATAACCCCCGACACAACCCCCGACACAACACAATCAACATCCACTACCTCAGACTCCAGATCCTTTGCTGTTCACTTTGTAGAAATCAGTGGCAGCCACTCTGCCCCTGCTCGCCGTCCTCCCAAGCTTAGTTCCAGCCAACGCAGCAAAGCATCGGAGCAAAAACATATTCAAGACAGCAAGACGGCTCCTGTAAAGACCAATGCTCAGTCCCCTAGAGAAAATTCTGGTGGAGACCAGAAGACGGGGAGTATTGTGGAGAGCTCCAGGCTGGAGAGAAGCATTCAGAGAAACACCACCTTCAGAGTCGACCCCAACCAACACAGCAGCGTAGAGGGAACTGAGAACTCCCTGGACAAAATGCAATCACAGGACACACAAGTCATCTCCAGTACATCAATGTCTCCCTCACAGGCTGCAGAACAAGAAGAGAACAATGTTGCCAACTCAGGGAAAGAGGCTGCGGGTGGCGATGAGAATACTAAGGTCAAGGGTCAACTGATTGAGGTTGACCTATCAGGTCAGCTTAAGGAGGATGGCAGTGCAGATGTTACAGACGGCGCAGCAGAGGGCGAGCAAAAGAATATGCTGGGGTTCTTCTTTAAGGTATAATTCAGGAATTCATTTTTATGTGTGCACTGTGAGCGAAGCATAGCTACTAATTTAAAGATGATTACTGCTTTTTATCTTCCAGGATGACGAGAAAGCAGAGGATGAAATGGCGAAACGTCGCGCTGCCTTCCTCCTCAAACTGCAACGCAAAGCTGAAGAGTCGAGACTACGCAAACAACAGCAAGAAGCCGAGAGTGAGCTCAAACGCGATGAGGCCAGGTAAGTTTTTATTTCACACACTCACAAATTGATGATCAGGAGAAGGAACTGTCTAAGTCTGCAGGTATGTGTGCAGGGGCGTATTTTTGCCATGTAATTAAATTCTGTCTGTCTTAACTCTCCTTCCCTTTCATCAAGGCGTAAAGCAGAAGAGGACCGTGTTCGTAAGGAGGAGGAGAAAGCGCGACGAGAGCTTATAAAGCAGGAATACCTGCGGAGGAAGCAGGAGGCGTTGATGGAAGAGCAAGGTCTGGTCAAGCCTCGCCCACGCACTAAGTCCCGCAGGAACAGGCCTAAATCACTGCATCGCGAAGAGTCCAACAGCCTCTCCAAAGGATCCACCACACGTAAGAACACCTTTAGTACTTAAACAGCGTACATTTTGTCTAATGCTCCATGTTTTATTTGTTGTCAGCTTAGAGTAGTGTGTCTACATGCTGTTGTATCATCTGTTTAGCTGTGTGTGTGCGTGTATTTTCAGTTTATTTCACCTTGTGTAGACTCATCGTCATCCTCTGAGTGTCTACATGTGTGTTATGCAGGTAATTCTCTGAAGGTGTCCATGTTGATCAAAGCGAAGGGCTCAGCAGCAGGCAGCAGGGGAGGTGAACCTTCTAACCTGCTCTGCATGATGTTAATATCAACCATACACAGCCCATTTAAACAGTTAATGCAATAAACCCTTGGAGTGTTAGCTATAGATTACATACTGAGATAAATATTAGTACTCAATTCTGACTCATTCATTTTGTTGTTGCCTGTTACGCAACTTTTGTCCCTTATTTTGATTCACAGGGTACTGTACTCTGTATTTAGAGTAACATTACTTTATTAATTTGGGTCACTGCTTGTCAGTACAGTACATACAATAGAACTGGTGTGGAATGGATAAACAATAGTGTTATTTTGTTTATTTAAGCAAGTAAATCCTTCTGTCATTTTCAGCTGATCTGAGCTACAGTCATCTAGGATCGACGCTCTCTTTGGCGACCGAGGCTGACAGTGTCATCTCCGGAGGGGCGGAGTCACAGAGGTGAGACCTCCCATGTTGTGTGTATGTGTGGGGGATAATCTCTTCCAATCTTGTCCACCCATGTAGTCATCTGATTGACCTATAAGTGTGCCTTGCAGGGCTGGATCTGTTTGCTCTATGGAGTCGTTGCCTATGCTGAGCAGGGCGTCTAGCAGGAACATGGAGAGGGACTGGGAGAACGGCTCTATAGCCTCATCCATCACTTCAATGGAGTACAATGGTGAGCAGAAATGCAGAGAAAGACTACGTATTTATTTAACCGTCGCCATCACAAAGCAAACTTTTGTGCAGAATATTTCCTAACCAAGGCTAAAGATGATTTTATTACTTGCTTTAAAGAAATAGTTTGTGAAATGTGCTTATTTGCTTTCTTTCTTGCATAGAGTTAGAACAATATCACTCCAATACCTGTGCGGTAAATATGGAATCCAGAGCCAGCAGCTGATTAGTTTAGCATTTAGCACGTTAATTCCAACAAAAAATAACAAAATGTAAAAACAGTAACTTGTGATTTTTACTTGGGAACTCCCAGTCTTTATGCTAAACTAAGCTAATCGATTACTGGTTCTAGCTCCATAGTAATTACATGGAAATGAAAGTGAAACTGATCTTCTCATCTAACTTGTATGCATGTTTCCCAAAACTATTTCTTCAGACACTTACAGACATATATCATATTAATCGTTTTGTTACATTTTGCTTGTTAAAGGTCCTAAACTCTTCAAGGAGCCGAGCTCCAAGTCCAACAAGCCAATCATCATCAATGCCATCGCTCACTGCTGTCTGGCTGGAAGGGTTAATGAGGGTCAGAAGAATGCTGTTCTAGAGGTCAGTGTGATCACTTGAAATGTATTTATTGGTGATTATTTATTGTGAATATGCAGAATGTTTGGCTGTATTCAGAAAGGTTTTGTGTCCGTCTCATTGATCACAGGAGCTGGAGAAGTGCGAGTCCAATCACCTTATCATCCTCTTCCGCGACGGTGGGTGCCAGTTCCGCGCCATTTACTCTTACTCACCCGACACCGAGGAGATCGTCAAGTTCACAGGCACAGGACCACGCGCCATCACCCGGAAGATGATCGACAAGCTCTACAAATACAGCTCGGACCGCAAGCAGTTCAACGTCATCCCCGCCAAGTCTGTGTCCGTCAGCGTGGACGCCCTGACCATCCACAATCAGCTCTGGCAGGTCAAGAGACCAGGGAGTGCACGGAGGAAGTGAGAAAGAGGAGGAGGGAAAGAAAACACTGGTTATAGTTTGTGTTTTATCTACTACTGTTGGGCAGGACCCAATAATCTCTGAGATGATTGACATGCGATCATGTGAATGACATGTCATTAGACATGTTAGATGTTCTTATTAATGGAGAGGTCAGTCTGTGGCAGCGCGAGAACATGAAACACCTGCCAGCTGAATGCTCTAACATTTTTTTGTTTTGTTTTCGTCTTATTAGCTTTTTATTCTGCATGTCAGACTTTTATGTTTTGATTTGTGGATACGTCCTACATTAATTAGGCACCACTGACGATGGATTGATTCTTATGTAGCAGTGAAGAGACGGACCCTCGAGTCGAATACCACTGAATCTACTTACTACTGATACCAAGTGCAACTACAGACAGGTAGCGGTGAACATTAACTCGATGATGTCTTGTAAGCTATTTCAGCTTGGCAAAAAATACCCTACTGCTGTGATTAATCCAGGCTCCACATACAGAGCCCCTATTATTCACCGGTAACTACTACTGGTCAGTGCTTTTCTGAAGAGGGAGCTTTGAGCAAACTTTTTTATGTGAGTATGGAATGGATGTCAGTGAGTGGTAATGTCCAGTCTTGTTTTCTATTTAGTGTGTTTGGGGAAGTGTGTGAGTCTTTGTGTCAGGGAAGGGGAGAGCTTGAATGCTTGTGCATCCTGCTCTGAATGTGTTTTCTCACTCTCTTGATTATGCTTTAAAAACATCTATCATGCAACAGAACAATGGAGCAAAGCAACAAAACTGTTTTCTTTTTTGTTTTTTTGGAAGCTATGTGTTGCCGTTACAGTGGAAGAGAAATAATGTTTTCACAGTGGGGGAAATTATACTAGTATTTATTCCAAACAGGAAGCGCTTTTGAGAGTGCATTATACCCTTTCAGTAGTGCATTATATTGTATTAACTTCATACTTATATTCCACCACCCATATGATCTGAGATCCCAGAGACTGGCTCATATTGCTGAACCAAAATTAACTGAGCTATGCCACTGAGCTTTTTGTTGCTCATTAACTGCTCAAAGGATTCTGGTGAGATGTACAATTTCAATGTAGCTTCTGGCGCTGAACACTAGTAATTTCCCTGTAATGATTGACTGTCAGCAGCTGGTATAACGTGGGGAGGGGGGAAACTGCACAATACTTGATATTTGTTTGCTGCATTTTGTACATTTTTGAGTAGTATTTTTTGTACATTACGTACAAGTTATGTTTACTAAAGAGCAGGCACTATTTTGAGGTTTATTCTGTTACAGGCTTTCAGAGATGTTACGAGTCTTATTTCATTGTGTTATATTTTATGTTTATTTATTTTAAAGAGATATAATAAAGTGCAACTAGGTATGTTTTCTGATGAAATGTGTGTGCTTGCTCAAGTTATTGGGTCTGCGTGCATTTTTGTGTGTATACTGTGTGCATCTGGTGCTTGCCGCTTCGTTTCTCTTTCTTTGACCATCTGCCATCACTTTTCACTCTTCTTTTTCTTTTTCTATCTTGCTCTGTTTCTCTGCTGTGCTCTATGCCCCCTCTTTCTGTCCAGATGTGGTAGAGATAAGAGTATTTATGAAATGTCTGTAAGGCTTTTTAGGTCATAAACCATACTTACTCTCACATATAAAATACTATACACTATTATGCATAATCACGCACTCATACACACTTAATACACCATAAATCATTTTATAATATGTTAGAAAGAAAATTGCCAAGAAAGTGGATATGCGTATCTTCCAAAACTCTAAACCTGCAATTTTTGTAATTTATGACCACTTGGTGACAGCGGAAACCAGATATATATTAACATTAAATATGGGGAACTTGTTATCATATATCTGCTTATGCAGCTGTTATGCAACATTATCATTCATTTTCAGTGTGTTTTTTGCCATGACTCTAATACTCATTCTCTTTTAGCGCTATTATTAGTCTATACCAACACCTGAGGAAAATATTCTGCCCTTTAGATGTTGAATCCTCCACCATGTTCACCGGACGATATCTGTGTCTGTCTGCTGTTTGGTGATAAGGAGGAAGTGTACAGTGGGATTTTAGAGTTTTTTCACTGAAAACAGCTGCCTGCTGCAGGCCAGAGTTATAAGAGCGAACCAAAACTGTAAAGTTTACCAGCATTTGTTAGCAGAAAGCAGTGTACACTCTATAAACACTACTTTTGTTCCAGTGCAGAAAGCATTAATTTCATACTCAAATAAAGTGGCAGACAGAAACTGTATAGTAAATAGGCAGGGACATATATAAAGAAATATTACAGATGAAAATTAGCTTTTAAGCTATATCTGGTACAATATTATGTATTGTGCATCGGCCCTGCTACATAAACATTAATTAATTAATTAAAAATTAATACATTTATTGGGTGGCAAGAGGGTGGACTGGAGACTTTAAGGGGTGGCAGTAATTTACATATGCTGATTTAATCCCTAACAATCACATATATCAATAGTTGCTTGGAAAAGCCTGCAAATGAAGATACTTTAACTCAAAAATATCACATTATTGTGGCACATCAGTAAAGCATTGAATAGAAATATCTTAAGTTGGCATTAGAAATCAATAATAATTTTTTTTTTTTTTATCTTTTTCCAAATACATGTCCATAACTGATCCGTTGCGTTTTCTAAGTTAATATAAATTTATGTGTTAAATTTGACAGCATTTGACACCAAACTGGTGGCAGTTAGATCTGCCCCTGTAAATAGGTGGTGTTTTTAGACAGCCCTGCTCTTACGAGTCATGGTGATTCACCATTTCTCTCTCGTTTATTTTTCCACATCCAATATATATCAAGCCCCTACACCCACAGTTAAATCACACAGGTGTTTTCACTTGAGTTGTCTGATTAGACCTCATTCCAGTTTTGTGTTCCAATTCTGTGACTCAACTTCAACTAGTCATGAAGCTCCTTCCTTCTTGTTTCACATAATTATTTCTTTTCACCTGTCGCTCTTTGTTTCACCTTCCTGTTTTCCATTAACAAGCACTTTTCTCTCACCAATTATTTCACCTTTTCATTTTGTTTTTGGTTTTTTATACAGTATATTTCAAGCACAGAATTGTGTTTCATACAGACCTCTATCGTCTTCTGCTTTTCATTTAGGACGACACAATAACAAATCTACTCTAATCAGACTGTTTCCTTGGCCATCCTTGTGTGCCAAATTAAACTGACCAGTCATGAATAGTCTGTATGGTAATTTTCGAAAGGCTCACTCTTGCAGACACCAAGTCCAAGAAAATACCTGTACACAGTTATAGTTGTGTAGCCATGCTTGCGGCTCTGCAAGGCCATTTTTTTGTACTGAATGTGAACATAATGCTAACGTGCCCAAAGTGACCAAATGGCTTACATGGTAATGTTAAAAGGTCATAATGTTTACCCTGTTCACCATCTTACCTGACCCAACAAAGTACAGCTGATGCTGGTGGGAACCTTTTTTAAATTAATTTCAACATAAGTTTTGAGAAATATTTTTGCACTGATGGCACATAGCTGTCAGATGACCTTCATCGTCATCGAACTGAATCCCCAAAATCTCAAACTATTCCTTTAAATTGCCATTCCTAGGTAAGACAAAATTATTGGACAGGGAACAGTTTCAATGTGCTTTTTCGTAATATAGCACTTTAATGTGCAAATCAAAATAAAATGAAACTCAGGTACAAATATTTTCCACATTTAGATATGTATGAAGTCAAAGAGTCAAAGTCAAAAATTCTTGTATACAGGATGAAGCATTTTAAAAATACATTCCTTGCCCAAACAGCCACAAATGTAAATTAATAAGCAACTTCTTTCACCAAGCAGTGCTGAAAGTAAAATGAGGTTTTCTGATTACTAATATAGTACAAATTAAATAAATCCTTCATGGCACAGTACTGAATATATGGCATGTCCTGTTTAAAGGGTTGAAATAAGCTATTGTAGTGCAAAAAACCTCATTCAAACTAAGAAATGTACTGCAGCGAACATATAACCATCATTGTTTGTACATAACTTACTAATTAAGACCTCTACACCACTGAATAACTACTTCTATGGTTCAGCTACAAAAAAAAGCTTTAAAGGAAAGCTTTAATGCACATATTTTATGTAAGTCATATAGTGTTGAACGTTATGTTGTTATGTTTGATTTTTTTTTTACGTGATTGGTGGTAAACGTGTGTATGGCCCAGGGAAAATTAGAATATGTGCATCTGATTTCTGGTAATCTCAAAAGATCAAGAAAGGCAGATAAATCCTGAGCCACTGACCTCTACATCAACAAATATATCTGATCTTGATGTTCAGCTTGTACTTTACCTGAGGGAGCCGCGACCCATAAGAGCAGAAACAAAATATAGAATTCACTCCGAAATTCAGGAGTTCAATGACAATGAAAATCACTTTTGTCTGGTCATTCAGATTAACTCTAACCGAGGGCAACACTGCTAGTTGTGTTAGCAAAATTAATTTGTTAACAAGCCCGTCCATGAGTGCTCATCTGAGAGAGCTTTCACAGACATGAATACACGATTCTTACATAACAGTGTCTGTGGCAAAAGGATGAAAATGTCACAGATGACATGTCAAATGTCATCTGCCAAACAGTAGGCACTCATATAATACAGTTGTACACTGCAGTGCTGGAATATTGTAGCACAAATAGTCCTCTTTCACATTGGACGTGCATTGGACGCAACCAGACCCCCATTACATCTGATTATGTAGGAGTGTACCAGTGAAGGTCAGCATGGTATCAGAGCTGGGTGTCCTCTCTGATGTCTATGCTGGACTCGCGTCTCTCTTTCAGGCTGCTGCTGTGGATCGGAGGCTCCTCTGGGACATGAGCCAGAGGGTCTGAACGAATCAAGTACCTGAAAGAGGAAGAGAGAGCAAAAGGGCAGATAAAGAACGGAGACAACTCAATTGTAAAGAGTTGCCACACAGGACTGATCCCTGCTCGCTAATCCTTCACTGCAGACTTCACGCTCTTAGCCGTAAAAGGCATGCATAATAAACAAATAAACTGTGGTATGCACTCGCCACTCTCCATCATGAACAGGAAAACAGCCGTCGCCATGGATACTGATAGGTGCCTTGCGCGCTCAGCCGTTGTGTTAGAATATATGTTTCCCTGTAATTGCATATTATTAGTTTTTATGGGGGTAGCGGACCAAGTTGTAAACACAACACTGACATTTTATCACCTTATAAAGTTCTTGTACTGAATGTGTTATCAAATAATTGCCTATTTACACATCCAGAAGACAGAGCAACAGTCACTACCTTTCTTTGCTCTCTTTGTATGATGCTGAGTGGCTAATGTACAGTGGGGTTTTAGAGCTTTAATGCTGAAAAAGGCCCACTGCTGTTTCTGGGAAAAAAAAGGTTAATGAGTCACCCAAACAAACAAAGTGTCAGGTAAATAATTCTCTGTAATTTCATCCATTGATAATATAGAAATATGAATATGAAGTATTAATGTACTATGAGATAATGGGTAAAAGGAAATTATAATGTGAGTTCTTTCCATCAAACTGCTTTTATTATCACCAACCTGGCAACCTCCGTTGCCGTCAAATGAAGCCAACAAGAAAGTAACAAAAACTGCAGTTCCTCGAACGGCCACTTGAGGATGGCTACATAATTGATCATTCTCTGTAAGGCGCTATGTTAAAATGCCAACCTCTACAGCAGAAATAAACATGTTTACAGCCTGGTTGAAAATACGGTTTTGGTCTCTGCCTCATTCGGCCCACCTCAGCTCCACCCACGCTCCACGTTTTTGCCCATTTTTGGATTATGATTATCACTTGGATTAATTTCTGCAAAATGTTGACAGTAATACACATGCAAGGACAAAATAAGACAGCTTTGAAAAGGCTGAGAAATGAACTAATAATAATACCAGTGGTAAAAATATGTACATTTTATTCACGTCTGTTGCACTGGGTTTGCGCGTCTATTTATCATAAACACACACATCAAGAGCAACATAAAGGAATTATGCTTACACAATATCATTGAGCTCCAGCCTGGTGTCAGGAGAAGGGTTAATCAGGACGTATGACAGAGTGTTTTGGTGATCATTCTGCTCATCTGAAACAGAAACTTTACCCAATCAGCAAACTGGAATAACCATATGTCTAATTTCTAGCTGTCTAACTTAAACGCTTACCTTGTAGGTATCCCAGATTAACTCTGTTCATGACGTCACTGGCTGTCAGATTAGTCAGGTCTTCTACTAACAGCAGTTAAATGAGAAACAGACAAACTTTTAAGCAGAAGAAGACAGGAAAGTTTGGGGAAAAAAAGCTCAGAGCAGTTGGCTTTCTCTCAGTTAAAGAGGCATCCATCCTCACCATATCCAGAGGTGGGGAGGCCCAGATGCCTCATGCGGTTGCGGACCAACTCAGACAGCTCTTCCCTCTCAGAACGTCGGTAGAGGTTGAGGCGCTGCTGAGCGATGCGCTGGGCGTGGTCCTTGCTGGAGTCCCGGCTCGCTCCCTGCCACCTCACGCTTTTCTTACTCAGACGCCGTGCCCACTGCATGCTCTTCTTCCTCAGCAGGGGGTGATCTGATTGGTCATTGCTGCGAGACTCGTCTCCCTTGTCCTTGGTGTCATCGCAGTCGTCAACACTGACCGACACCTGTGACTGGGGTGAGGAGACAGGAAGTTACCTTCATTGGCAGGATGAGCATCAAGTTCAGAAAATAATATTTTACAATAATATGAATAATTCTCAGGTGAGATAAATAGATAATTTTGGTAGCGGCGTGGCAATGTCACGCGGGCGGTCGACCATTGTGGTCCAGAAACATTTAATGAACTTTTAGAACTATAGATGGCTATGAAATTATAGTTATCGTCACCAGTGGTTAAATAAAGAGTTTGGCCATCCCCTGACTTTTCATCATATCGCTCAAAATACTTTGATTCATGTTATGCAATGTTAACATGCTAAACTAAGATGGTAAACGTTAGTTAAAGTTAAAACTTACCGGCTAAACATCAGTATATTAGCCAGTCATTGTGAGCATGTTACCATGCAAGCATTTAGCTCACAGAGCTGCTAGCACAGCTGTTGACTCACAGTCTTGTTATATACCATAATACATTATTTATGTGTCAGAATTCTGCTATAAATCAGAGATCACAAGCTTATTTGTAATAAACATGTTCTTACATCACCTCTGAGATCTCACCTCAGAAGTGGAGAAAATGTGGGATTCTGTCCGATAGATCCCAATAGGAATTTCGGCACTTGAGGAGCAGAGTTTCTGGAACAGTCTGCCATAAGTACTAATCCACAGATCTTCCTCTGTTATTTTCATCTGGAACGAGAGATAAATGGGTATATTATCAGTTATATAAACTGGAGCATGGCACTGTGTCAGGTGGTTTCTTTCTTCTTTTGTACATTATTTTCTTCTCTCTAACTCACAGCACAGAGGTATCCTGATCCTGGAGTGGTGTCCAGTCCCAAAAGCAGCCTTGCAATAAGAATCATGTAGTCCTTCACAAAAGACTGACATGAAATCACAGAAAAACACTTTTATAACTTATTACAGCTAAAAAAAACCCAAACAGTGGACATAAAGAAACTGAAGCGAGTTTTCTATCAATGACTGAACACAAGAGGGCACTTTTGCTTTTTGGTAACGCTGCTCTGTTTCTTCAGGTGATACTGTTTCTCTGCTGCTGTAATACACATTCATTTCTTTCACTTGGTATTTAAAAGAGTCATCTGAGGTGCTTAGCTGTAGGTGTGTACCAACCTGATACAGCAGGGTGTCCAGCATGCTAATACTGAACACTCTGCCTGCAGCGAAGGGTAGGCGAAACATGAAGGCCAAGTTGGAGCCTTTATCACGCTCTTTCTGTGGGGAAGAGCCAGGGTCAACAGCATTTAAAGCTCTGTCACTTTTCTGAAGAAAGTCAAATGGGAATGGCAAACACATGACAACAGTGAATAATGGCAACTTTTAAAACAAATCTACAGAAGATAGTATCCTCTACGTCTAATTCAATTCATACCACACGCTTCACTGACTTACCTTCTCCAGCTTGGAGAGGGCCAGTGAATAGCAGTCCTTTGCTCTGAACTGCATGAATCTCATGTTGGATGGATGAGTAAGCTCTGTGATAATACTGAGACTGGGAAACAACCTGGAACAAGAGAGAAAAGGGTGCTACATTAAAGAAAGTGGTTTAAAAAAAGAGCAAATAAATGAGGATGAGTCAAAATATCGCAAACTTTTACAATAATTTTGGAAATACTGCTGTTGTCCAATGCAGGCTCATACACACACAATGATTTCAGAATAAAGTAATGTTAAAACATTAAAGACCACGTCATGAATAATACAGGATAAACATTATACTAGATCTGTTGACCTACCTGAACATCGTCTGTACATTGACAATAGTTTTGGCATCTGCCATGTAGTCCTCCTCGGCACTCATTGTACTCTCTTTATCCACAACAACCAAATTATCCGCGTAGATAATTCCACACTGCAGCAGGCTGTCCAGACTGACACGTGCACACACATAGACACAATCAAACAAACAACAATGAGCATAACAACAGCAGACACCAATTTACCTGGAACATATTGTACATTTGATTAAATCACAGAGAAGTACAAACTCCTCTAATACATTTTAATGAGAAAATAAATGTAATAAATAATAACAGTATAATGAAAAGCAGAAGGTTATATATGACTTACTTGTCTATGGTCCCAGCCATGTAGTAGACCATAGGAAAACAGCAGATGGCCTCCAGAAAGTGATTATCTGGCCTACAGGAAACGATGATAACATTTTGTTTTCTATTGACCTTTTTACTCAAAACCACAGAATACATTGGGTTTCTTTAAAGGATGATGCACAAAGTGAGTTGGCTATTCACACATGGACATACTTGTAGAAAATTTTGAATATGAGTTTAAAAAAATCTGGTTAAACCTTAGCCTTGTGGCATTTATTTTCTTTCTTATGTGATTTGGTACAAAATATATTTAAAGTTTTGTTTAAAAATGCCATGTACAGTAAATGTAAATACAGTGTGATGCTTGATGTCCAGACTTAATGTGTCTTCAGGCTGAGGGATGAGTCCGTCTGGTGCAGCGCGCGCACAGAGAGATTTTGTCGCTTTATTACTGCCAGCCCTCAACCACAACCCCTGACAAATCATTACTTTTGCATCTGCCCAGTCCTGCTGACTAGAGACCCAAGGCTGTCGTAAGTGCTTGAATTGCGTATCCAAGTGTGTGGGTGTTTGTATTTGTGTGTGTGTGCAGCAGCGATAGGAAGGGAGGGAGAGAGCTGCACGGAGGGAGAGGGTTTATTGTTATGTGCGCTTTTCTATGAGAGTCCTGAAAGCTCCCATATGGGGGCTGAAAAGGGACACATCAGGGTTGTCAATGAAAGCCTGCTTGGAGTTCTCCAAAGAAATCATTTTCTTCATTTTTTTCTCCCCTTGTAGCAATATATATCATTCAGGTTCAAGGCAAAGCAAGTTGCTATGGCTACTGTCTGGAGCTGCAGCGTTTTTTATTTTTCTTTGTCGCTCAAAACACACTGTCGCTGTGAGCAGCAGCAGTACCCTAACATCAGGGCCGACAATGGAGTTCCACCTCCACAGCCTTGTCCTAAGTGTTACGCTGACGTGAGCTTTTAGCATACATAATATTTCCCAGTGTGACATGGTGAAAAGACAGAGTGAAGGGCAGAGAAAGGAACGGTGTGTGTGTGTGTGTGTGTGTTAAGGAGAACTCACGGGTTATCCAGCAGCAAGACAATGGGGTTGAGTTCTTTCCTCGGTCTGTAATAAGCTCTGAGAGGCACAATGAAGTTATAGAGACCGTTTCCGGCAGTCTCAGCAGACACAATGATGAGTTTATTTTTAAAACCATAAGCCTTAGCATCCTCAAAACTGTTGTGCCTGCAACCCTGCAGAGCGAACAGAAGAAAAAAAAAACAGACAGGTATCTTAGGTTTGCTGTTATGTAGTGAAGGACAGAGAGAGGAGGGAAGGAATGCAAGGAATGATGGAGGCAGTAAGTAATTGAGTGACTAAGTTAGAGGAACAGCAACTGCCCACCTGGTCGAGTCGTAGGCAGCAAAACGGGGCTTTTTCAGCCAACAGATGGCACAAGGTAGGCGAGCTCCCAATGTACGGAGAGTTAGGGGGATAACCTTTCACGTACCTGCAAACGAATCCAAAAAGCATGAATGACACATTTCATGGAAACATACTGTAATTAAAACATTTAGCAAGTTTTTCTTGTTGTAATTTCTCGTTCTTACACAAATACCTAAATTTGGAAGTTAAAAAATAATATTTAGAGGCAGTTTTCAGAATATGCAGAATTTCCTACTGTATTCATGTTAACTTGGAAAGTAGCATTCAGGTTCAGCTGCATGCTGGGTAAATTATTCACCAAATGTTAACAGGTAAGGCGATGTTTTCTTTTGCTTTGGTCTGATATTTTGGGAGGTTGAATAATTGTTGGATAAGAAACTACACAACTAGACTCATTTTTTATCTCAACCTCAAATGAAACAGCATTAATTAATGGCTGTAGAACTGAAAGATCAGGTTCAAGACAATAGCACAATGTAAATTCATTCAGCCATCATTCAAAGTCAATAAAATATACTTATATACTTAATATACTAAAAGTATCAAAAGTTAAAGTAGTGCAGAAAATAGCCCCCTGTTAAGGTTATGATTGTATGTTCAATTACTTTTGGAGTTTGTTGAAATTGAACCAAATTGAACTACTTTACAGTGCTGGAAAGTTTATTAATTGTAAAGTAACAAGTAACTATAGCTACATATAAATATAAAAATAAATGTAGTGGAGTAAAACCACAGTATTTCTCTGAACTGTAGTGATGTAGAGGTGAAAGGTAACATATGATAAAAAAAATAGTCACCTAAGGACATCACTACTGGAAGATACAGACAACCTTTTAATACTTCCAGGGTCATTAATACAAAGTGACCTGTTGCTCAAAGGAATCTTAAGAAACTGTAGAAGAAGAAGTTTAAAGAAATCAACCGGAGTAATATTTAAGTTAACTGATTTATTAGTCGTTTAAAAGCCTGTGTTAATTTGAGTAATGCATGTGGTTAGGTTTGTAAGCTATGGGTATATGTACACACACACAGAAACAAAAAACTTTACTCAGTAGGTGAGTGGCCTTTCTCATCTATAAAGACAGAATCATCTTCTGATTGGTCACTGAGGAGGTCACATGGCAGGATTGAGGCGGAGTCAGCGATCTCCTGAACTGGAGCGATGCTCGGCCGGCGGCCCCCTGTTCCATTTATTGTGGGCGGGACCAGTTTACCACCTGACAGATCAGGTGGACTCGTATTCTGGAGATCCATGGCGACAGTGCCTGTAAATTATATTCACCTGAGCTTTAAATCATACATAAGGAACCAGTGTCTCCACAATCAATCCAAATTCATCAACGAGAACAGTTTATTGTGTGCTGTATCTGGTCTCACCCATGCTAGCGATGATGCTGTGCACAGGGAGCTGTGAGGGTCCGTCGTAGATTCTCCCGGCAGGGCGGCCCTTCCTCTCCTCCTGGTTGAAGATGAAGGCTGAGTTCTCCTCCTTGGTGATGTTGATGTAGTAGCAAGTGTCTGTGGCAGCCATGATGTGACGTGGGCCGGGGTTCAGGAGAATGCTCTTGTTGTCTTCCCTCTTTATACCGATCAGACACACGCCGTACCTGCATGTCACATATCTGCTGTTAGCACATATCTTGTCGTTACATTCAAAGCCATAAAAACCTGGAACTTCACAAGAACTGATACCTGAGGGTTAAAGGAATGGTCAGGAAATATTGGTATTTGCTTTCTGCAGAAAGTTAGGATAGTTTAGCTTAGCATAAAAGACTAAAGACAAGGGGAGACAGCTTTTAGGGGCTCTGTCAGCTCACTAATTTACACATTATAAGCGGTGATAGGTGGACTTTCTTATCCTCAGACAGAGCTAAGCTTCTTGTGTAATGGATTGATTTTCATCTAACTCTCAGCAAGAAAGTAAATAAGCATAAAATGTTGAACTATTTCTTTAAATAAACTTAAACTGCAACTGCAATTGCAATTCACATTTTGTAGCCACAAACTTAAGACATGGATTTGTAGTCTGCAACATATTTGACATCACTTCATCACTATTTTCTTTTTTTACAGTATAATAAAAAAAAAAATTTTCATTACCATGTCTGTATAAAATTCATATTAAACCAGGATGATAGATATAATAGGTCCCCTAAATAATCACTTCATTATACGAGATGATACCAGGTCAAAGAGTCAAACAAACTGACAAAATATGAAACAACCCCAGTAAATGTTTTGATATATTTTCAACTTGTCAGCATCTGAAAGAGATGCTTTAGTCAACTCACTTCTTGTGAGCATGAAAGGAAGCGTATGTGAAGCTTTTGCCGTTATACTCTCCAAAGAACTTGCTGTCACACAGTCGGATGTGGTAGACCTCGTTGCCGGAGCAACATCCGTACATCCTCTGCCACTGTTCTGGAGACTGCTGTCCTTCTCTGCATTCAATCAGGAAAAATACCATGGGTCAGTAAACGCGATATACACATATATATATTCGTTTTTTTGCTCAGTGTAATCCTGACAAACAGTGGAACCCTGCTTTTGTGAACATCTATTCAGAATCAATCATTATCATAATTTGCAGAACTCTTTATCTCCTCTCCTCACATCCCTCCACTCCAGACCCTCAGGATTGTGTTGGGTCTCCTGGGTTGTCTTGTGAAAAGTAGACAGCTTGAACCATCTGTCAGTCAGTCAGCTTGGCTCTAATGCCCTTTGAAATGACTTCCGGTAATTACAGTAATTGCTCAAGCACTTTGATGGAGTCGAGCTACGAGAGATGCTCGGAACAACCCCAAGGTTGCAGTTTATATACTTGCTTCTTAGTACTTATAAATATTTAGACGACATACACAAGTGTATTTTACATACTCCCTCATACACAGTCAGACAACTATACTACACATTCATATACATCTTTGGAGCTATTGTGTGCAAAGTCTATATGTCTTTGTCTAATAAAAATACACAAAGCTTCACTTTCAAAGGAATCTTCAGGAACACAGTAGGTGCTATAGCCCATTGATTCCCCTTGAATGCAATTTCCCTCAGCCATTGACATCAGCTTTTAAAAGTTATACGTACGCATGCTGTGAAAAATTATTTTCGGAGAGCTTTTCACTGTTTTACAGAGAACACATCCTGTTCTCTTTTTTGGCTTAATGCACTCTCCTTACTTGCTGCTGTTTTCCCACAATAAACTAAGACTTTTGTCTTTGCTTGGGCTTTTTCACCTCTCTGTGCCAGTTCCATGGCAGACATGAACATGTGAAAGAATTTTTTGTGGTCGCACTATGGAGATTTCAGAAAGGCTGAGAAGGTCGCTGGTTAAGCAAGATGACTGACCGTCCACGGGAAGTGTGTACAAGGAGCGTGACCAAGGTGGAGGTGGCGGGACACACACAGTTGAGAGCCAACATGGCGTACTTGAACTCCTCCTCACACACAACATGATCTGAAAAGGAACAAATAATGTTGAGTGAGGCAGTCCAAGAGGTAGAAGTTATATTATGTTACACAGGAAACACTTTCTGGCTGAGAGTTAGATGATTGCTACCACTCTCTTATCAGTCCGTTAAGTATGAAGTTAATTAGATCTGAGAGTCAATTAGCTTAGCATGAGATCAATAAAGTTTATCTCATGTTTTCTTAAAGTCCACTTAAAAACATGTTTTTCTTCTTTTTCCTGCAGTTGGATGTTTGAGCTTCATTTCGCAGAATGATTTATGTGCAGAGTTTGACACTATAAGGATGTTTTCACAATAATCTGCTGAAAGTGGAAAGTTTCTCTGAGCTAAAAGAACATCTGATTTTACATCCTGGTCCAGTCTGCAACTTATGAAAGTGTGATGTAAAAACTTGAAGCCATCAGTGCACATGCACTGAGAATGGACTTTACAGAAACTTTAATTTTTTTCTGAAAAATCACACACACATTATTTTTCCCAGCAGACTATTTGCATGTCTTAATACATGTCTGGAGGGGATCTTTATTATAGACTTGCTCTCTCCAAAGTTATAATGCTAATTAACACAATATGTCTCATTTGTTAAAATGTAAATTTATGACAAGCTGAGGTGACAATGTTAAGTTCTGAACTATTTCTTGATGACAGTGGCCTGCTGCAGTGATTTCACATGTGAGTCCACTAGTTGCCTAGCGACAAGAAAGTCACTGAGAAAGTTGCAGCACCCAACTCCCCCAGTAAAACCGAACATTTCTGCTTTTGAATCAAATTTAACAAACAAAATATAACCTATAAAGTAGTGACCTTTTGAGATTGTTACCTTCAGATAGGGGCTGGCTAGTTGCTTCCCTGTTTCCAGTCTTTATGCTAAGCTAAACTAACTAATATATATATTTACTCCTGCTAATTTTTGGTCATTCATAGCTACATTAATATATTGTCACCTGTTAAGTTCATAAAGCAAACTTATTAGCAAGCAGTTACATATTTACACATCCAGCAAACTTGGAGCAACATTAGCAGTAGCATTCATTTGGAGTCATGTTTCTGGTCACCTGATGAATGTAAGTCCAATATTTGCTTTCCTGCTAATTGTTTTTGTCTCCACCAACTCTGCTCAAATGCTCAAGTTCACCAGCTAGTTGCTAACTATGTCAGTGTGCCTATGGTGCTGGGCATGTAGCGGTTGTGGTAGCCAAAAAAAGTTACAGGCTGGAAAACCAAAAACTAAAAACTAAAAGATGCTAAAAGACTTGACTTGAGCTGACGGGATTTTCAGAGTAGGTCATAATTCTCATAATACTGCACATCTAACTCACCTGCAAATTTTACATGGAACTTATTTTCGGGTTTGAGTATCTGGACATAAAGGGGGCAATTTGGAGCAAAGTCCTTCACTGCCCAGGCTCTCAGGATGGTCTGATGGTCCTAAAGGGGGAAACATAACATAATACATTTTCACCCTTGCATTTTCTAATTAACCGCCTTTAATTAATTAGTAATTGTCTTCATGACTGACAGCATTAATGACTTGTGTTTCTGTAAACAAATGACTGATCAGCTCATAACTGACAAAGAGTTATGGCAGAGTTCATACACTGTTCTTCTTCTTACCGCAGCCATACGATCCACCTCATTGCGGCTGCTTAAAATGAAACAAGCCTCTGCGTCATCCATTCTGCAGCACCAAGACAGGTTAACAAATGAGAGAACAAAGTCAAAATTCATTAAAAATTAAGGGAAATTTCTCAAATGCAAAAAAAAGCAGAGGAAAAAAATTACGAAACCCTGACAGAAAAGAGTCAGCCAAAATTCGACTGAATGGCCCTTTGACCAGTCAGAAGAGATAACAACATCTTTTGATTCAATATTTAATTTAACATTCCCTACAGACAAACACACACAGATAAACTTGAAATGCTCTGCACTGTAGGCTATATGTGCTGTGAATGTGGAACTGTTTTTGCATATGATTAACACAGCCAGGAGAGTGCAGAATGCAAAACAAGTGTGGGTGGATTTGAAACGGTGCCAGATGCAGGATGTAAGCTCGACACACACCCAGTCCTCTACTTCTAATTGCTCTATCAGAACCCTGCCAAATGTATACAGTGAAGTTATATAACCGATTTCATCAAAGTAATACTTTGATGTTTGGTGTAAGATTTTCCCTACCTAATGGTAAAACTGTTAATATGACTATGTGTTTTGACATGCTATTTCATGTCTGTTTTCTGTTTTTGTTGTTTTAGTATCGATCTTGTATACATTTCTGGGACTCACAAGATACAGATTAAAAAAACAATAATCAAGAGAGAGATCCTGATTTTTAGTTTCCCCCCTGGTAGCAATGCAGAGTTTCTGATTATTGCTAGTAATGTGTACACTAATGGTGAGTAAACTGATCTGTGTGTATAAAATCAATTGGATTTACCCTTTAAGCCTGATTTGCACGCCAGTGATTAATGCTACAAAAATAAATTTGACTTGACATACAGATTGACAGCAGATTTTTCAAACCTTTCATCAGTGTTAAGATTTTCCACGTAGTCTCATTCATAACACTTTCATGACTTAAAATTACCGGAGACAGATCATGTTTTCTTTCATCAGAAAAAAGTTTTTCATTTAACAGCTGAGTCTCAAAAGACATGGGTATAACTTGAATGAATAATTACAATGTGGTATGAGCATGCGGCAGCACAATCGCTCTGACAAGCCTATTTATGAGAAAAGAATGAAAGAATAAAGAAAGGAATTAGAGAATATATAGAGATCCATATCCCACTGATGGTTTGCCGCACTTACTTATACTGCATAAAACCTTACCTGCATAAAATGCAAAATATAAAATGTTATGCATCCACTGTAGACAATTTGAGACAAAACTTTCTTTATCTTTCTAAAGCATCAGGAATATCTACATAATGCCCTCAACTAAACATCTCATACTCGATCCTCCTCCCCAGAAAAGATGCAGACACAGACTAATCACTAAGATCCGTAATCCCTGCCAGTAGGCTGATTGGTAATGGAGACATCAGTATTCGATCATTTGTTTCACCTTTAATTATAGCAATCATAGCAATTAGACAAATCAGTGTAATTTCTCAGAACAGCTGGATTTGCGTGGTTAAGATCTTTGCCACACGGGATTTCAGCAATTCTTTCAGCAACAAGACTCTGTCTGTCAGAAAGGCTAGGCACAGCAGTGCTTTGAGCTAAATACTAATGTCAACAACACAATGACAACATGTTGATGTTTAACAGGTATAATTTTTACCATGCTCACCATAGTTCAGCATGTTAACATTTGCTAATTAACACTAAACACAAAGCTGAAGCTGAAGGAAATGTCATTAATTTTGCAGATATTTGACCTTAAACCATATTGGACCAATTCAATTTTTGATGATGGCACTAGATGAAAAGGGAAGGGAAGCTGTTGCAATTTATTCTGATTGATTCATAAACTGTCTGTACTAAATTAAATTAGAATCCATCCGACATTTCACAAATTTTAACCTGTTGGTGGTGCTAGAATAAAAGTCAGACAATAACTAAAGACAGTGGGATACACAGCCTTATTCATATATAATAATTTTTCTAAATGTATTTCTAATCCAAATGGCCATTGTGTTATTGTATCTGGTGGAATTCATGATCATCTTTTGATACTAGCAAATGTATATGGACCACATTTTGATGATAAACAGCTCTATTAGAAATTTACGTTCTCACTTCTGGACGTAGTCTCACCACCCCATTATAAGAAGTGCTGGATATGATAACTCTTCCTCTATCAGAATCTTTTAGAGTGATTCACAAATTTTTTGATCAGTAAGTATCACTACAGCTGTTCTCATATTGATTTATTTCTGGTAAACATCTTCTTCTGTGGACCCATTGTACTGTAATCTCTGACCATGCTGTGATCTCAATGGGCATTTCACTGCCAGGCCATTAAAACCACAATGCTATCAGATGTTGATGTCTTCAATGATCAAATCAAGCTTTTGTTAATTTCATTTCCTACTTTGGAGACAATAAACTATTGGCAAAAGTACTGGACCTTCGCTTAGAGTCAGTTTTACCATCCATTATTTCAACAGACCAAACAGGAGTTACTAAAAATAGACATTTATTTTGTAACCTAAAGTTCCTCCACTCAATTGCCAAATAAGACTGTGGTAGCTATCGAACCATTGACCATCAGCCTCATTATGTTTATACTTGCACTCTTGCAAACTATTCTAACTCAAAGTCATGCCGCCTAATGTTAGCTACTTCTGGCCATCACATTTACGCTTCAAAAATCTTAAAAGTTAATTTGTAAAGATTATCGAAATGTGTAAACACTATAACCTTTTGCTTGCCACAGAGCTTATCTGATGGAAAAATGGCATTGGATAAGAACCAGGGTGATCCTACAAAAAGATGTCATTACTGCAACACTCTATTACGGGCATTATCAGTATTGTATTATATGCAGATGACCTCCTTTTATACATTTCAAAGCCCAGAAAGTTAATACCATATACTCTGGATATCCAATTTGAATTTCAGCATGAGTGAAGTAATATGATCATTACTACTCCAAAAATTACTATTCAAGATCTCTTTGCACGATGTTTCATATTTAATATCATATCTTTATGTTTCAGTGAATCCCTATTTTCATTGTCAAGTATTTCTGCTGAAAAGATTCCACTATATTACAGGTTATCTGAGACAAAGAATCTCTGAGGCCTTGCCTGATTTTCAACTTAAGTACTTGGTTGTTAATCTTTGCTCTACATTGTACTGGTTGTACCTTTTTCGAATCACTTGGGATGGTGAGATTCCCAATCCATATCATTAATCAACACTCTCTTTAGGGTCCTCCCTGAGACAACAGTTCTACCCATAAATTAGATCTCATTGGTTTCCTGACCTTTAGTGCCAGACGTCTGATATTGCTTTGTTGGGAGACATCTTATCCCCCCTTGATTGCATTCCCTTAATTTATAGTTATTTTTATTTTAAATATTTCTTCTCTCTGTCATTATAATTAATATGTACTTTTCACCTTTTTCCTACTTTTAATATTTTTTAAAGGGTTTCTCTGTGTGTACATGTGCATGCTTGTGTATCTGTAGATATGTGCATGTGTATAAGTATATAGATGTATATATTTTGTTGGGTTCCTGAATTTAAATTTCTCAGTGTTTAGTGGAAATATCATTTGGAAACTATTAATGTACAAAATGTTGTAGTAATTCATTCATAAGATATATTTAAAGGGATAAGTGTAACCTTTGCCCTGCTGGTGGGCCTCATCCTCTGCAGATGATACATTTCTGCACAAATTACATGGTAATGTAGTCACAGAGCCAACGTCATGCAAAAATTTGCCCCTCTCTAGTTCCAGAGATTTTAGGATCTGTCACTTACTTGGCTCTTAGCAGGTCCTGGTCTTTGAGAACAGATCCTTGCAGATAGATGACCCTTTGAGACCACAGAGGGATCTGCAGCACTCTCCGCACCTGGAGGTCCATTTCACTTGGGCACAGGATCACCACATAGTAATCCTTCAAGATTACACAAGAACCACTTTAGTATCTACTGCAGGATTCACTAAGAATCATGTAGATGATGTTAATGTCACAAAATCTGGCTATAAATTTCCTTATGTGTCTTAGTTACTGTCTTAACTGAACCACAAGAGGTATTTTCCCTTTAAATATTCTTAGAAACATACCATGCAGACTATTATTACATCCTATATGTGTACTCCAGACTATAAAAATGCTTATCTTGTGTTGTTTGGTACCTGCAGTCTGGGATGGGCGTAGAATTCATTGAGAAAATCCATGAGCAGGTCTATCTTTAGTGCGCTGACACACAGCACTACATGTTTCTCTGTCTGTGCTCTGTGGCGGCTGTAATTCCCTCCAGACTTCTGTCTCTCCATCCACAGGTACATCAACTCCTCAAACTGGCACAAAACAAGCTGAGTGAAGCTAGAACTCACACAGGAACATTCAAAAGTTACCAAACATTATTTAAACAACTTCCTACCTGCAGAGGCAGCACCACCAGAGCCACACAGATCATGATGACCACCAGTAGCTGGGAGGGCCATATGCGGGGAGTGACGTCTCCAAAGCCAACAGTGGAGAAGGTGACGATGCAGAAGTAGAAGGAATTGAAGAGGGAGAGGTTTTTGCCTGCTCGCTCCAGATGCTGTATTCCACATGTGCTGTGCAGAACAGTTTAGATAAACCACGTATACAAACATAACATCAACATTTATAACTAAAATGTACTCTTCACTAAGAACTCTGCAACATAAAGTATAATGGAATATATTACTAAATAGTGGTTATTTAGATCATTTAATGCATTATAAAAGGAAACGTAAAGCTTTATACTCCTCCCTTAACTTCTGATCACTTTTCAGTTTCAATTTATTTTGTTTGTGATTTTTGGCCAACAAATTAACTTGATTTGATTGAACTTCATTCATTTGCTTGTTATTCTACAACACAGGGTTGCACAATGAAGTGTAAAAATATTTTTTATGGTGGAGTGCAGAAGATGAAGTGTAACCACAACCTGAGAAAATAAGCTACGCTGTAGTCTGGAGTGAACATTATTATTATGCTTTAATTCCTTCCTTTACCTATAATCTCTTGATAAAATAGATTAAAACAACTCCATGGGTTTGCACAAATGTTTCTATTCAATTATGTATTCCCTTTATTTTCATTTACATGCCCATTATTTACAAAAAAGAAAACTATGTAATGTGGTACAAATTACAGGGGAAAAGTTCTGAAACTGATACATTAATTAGTTCAATTTGTTGTGTTGACTTTAGCATTGATTTTGAGCAAGGCATTTTGTTTAATTCGTTTTAAACTTAAATAAATATTTATTTTATTTATGAATAATAACTTTTTTTTAAATCAAATTATTTTATGTACATCCCACCTGCAGGTTATGCTAGCTTAGCATTTGGAATTAATTGGAAAAGTATCAACTCATCACATCCAAATTACATGATTCCTTCCTCTGGAATTGTTAGGAATTTATGGACCAAGTTTTTACCAACATTTACCAATTTTCTATCTTGCTTTTATGATGCTGAGATTGTTGTATGCCTAATCGCTATCTGATACGGGCTAATTACTGTGCTACAGATATCATAGAAATGTTTCCTATGTATCCAATATCATTCACAAGCTCTGCAACCTACAGCTTAAAATACACATTTCTTATTGGTGTTGATACATGAAACATTACACACTTAATATTAGACAAAACACCAGCACAGAGTTGAACTAAATAATCAAACAAAAGTATTCTGGGCATCCAGTCCTGTTCATTTAAATATATACTTAGAGAGGTTAGAAGCAGCCTCACCCAGTGAAGACCAGGCAGAGCAGGGTGCAGATGAGAATGAGGACCTGGTTGAACATGGCTGAGTTGGTCCTCTGGATTGCTCTGTGGACATCATTCTACCCAAAAACAACAGCATACTTTAACATTTAAACCTAAAAACTCAAATGTGCTCATATAAAAGAAAGATAATCAACTTGTATCTATCAAATGTTTTCTCTGATCATCCATGTCAGTTCTTTTATGGAATCACTCACATCATTAGTTTAGCTATTTATTGCAAATGGGGCTGGCATAATGGTTCTACTCTGGGTGCCTCCTGCTGCAGCAATACAGCTGAACAGAATGAAGTACAGAACAACATGATAAAATGTAGACAGGCTTGCAAATTATCTCCCAGTGAAAGCCCTCCAGGGCGCACACAATCAGAGCACAACCAAAGTTGGAGAAGGATGTGTTGTTGCAGCCTCAGTACAAATGGCTGTGAACATGAAGGCTGGTATAAATCAGTGCAGAAATGTAATGGTTGTGATAGACTTGCTGTCAGCAGACACAGCATAGTCTGACTCAGAGCTTCTTGCCTTAACAAAGTCATTACAGTGTTGATTAAAAACAAATCATTAACAGAAACAATTAACTTAATGCCTTTGTTTACTCACAATCATGTTCTCCAAAGCACACTTGGCCAGCCAGCAGTTGAGAAACACAGGAATGAAGATGTTCCTTATTGAGGGCCAGAAGATCTGAGGAGAATGTGAGACATTCAAACTCACTGGATAACATTTCACAGTTATATATTCACCTTTGTGCTCCAATAACAGTTGAGCAGGCCTCAGTCAACTTTCTCCTTTCCTGTATTTAGATATGCTACGTGCTAGGCTAATCTATGTTTGAATGACAGCTACATTTTGAAGATGGTTAAAAGACGCAACATATGTAGTCACATTTTCAGTCTTTTAATGTTAGCCAAAATGTTAGCTAACGAACTAACTAATGATTGATATAAATTAGCTAGCTAGATAGCTAGTGTTTTGCTAACATTAAAATGTGACAATATATATCTATATGTCGCTTTTATCTTTTAACATCTTCAAAAATTGGTTGTCTTTTCGACATAGATGAACCAAACACATAGTATAAAGTGAAGATAAGTTGACCGAGGCTCGCTCTTATTGTATAAGATGACTCACAGTACTTACGTTCCTTATTCTTTTTTTTTGTGATCAATTATTTTTTATTTTCAAAAGAGAAGGGCATGACACAATCCAAAGACAGTAAAACAAGTAGTATCCACTTCCCTCTACCCACCCCTCCAGAATACCCCCAGAATATACCAATATACGTTCCTTATTCTTGAAGGCTAACATTGTAAAAAAAAAAAAAAAAAAAAACTGAGTTAATAAGTTAACACGTGGTTTACCAGTTTGAGAGTTAAAATAATGAGTGTTTCAGCGTTGTTTTACCGTTATGATGAAGGGAACTGTGTTGATCATCTCCAAAAGAAAGGACACCTGAAATATCTGCTCCCAAATGTTCCCCTAAAATCAAAAACATGCACAGACTTTTTAACAGTTTTACCTGTAAGCACACAATAGACAGTGAGTCACTGCACAGATACATTCCTTAATTGTAGTCTGTCACTTTTCATGACCACTTAATCCTTCACCTCAACCAGATCCTGTAATTATCGTCAATCCTTAATGTAGCTGTGACAAATGACTTGGACTAATTACGCCACTTAAGGACTGTCAATCTCACAGACTGTAAGTGACTAAATGCACAGACTGTATTCAGTAATCATACTGATGTGCTTGAGGTCTTTATTTTGTGCATCTTACCTTGTAACTCAGATACATCAATAACATAGTCTCCAGGAAACTAATGATGGCCACAATCACCTGTGCAAACCAAAAACAGGAAATAATAAACACAAAAAAAAAAAACTTCAGTTTATAAAATATTGGTTTATTTAAATGATTTTATTATTTTGCTCTGTGTAAATTCTGTTGCGACTCACTTGAATGGCCCAAACAGGAACCTTCCTATCCACCCAGAAGATCAACTCCCTGTGAAACAGAGAATACAACTATTTTATTAACAATTAACTAATTGAACATAAATAATACACGATATAAAAATAAGACCTGTAGATGACCACGCTGTTATTATATCTTTAGATGGGCAATCGAGATAATATATATCTAATGCCTAACATTGCCCCACATAATAAAAACAGTGCTCTCATAAGGTTAATAAGGCGCAGGTAATTAGCTGAAAGAACACACATAGAATATTACTCATACTCGAGGCTACATAGTAATTTTCTACTAATTTGACCACATTAACTGCTGCCTTACCAGTTAATTTCTCTGTCCTGCACTGATCCATTCCACTGGCAGTCAACGCTGCAGGATAGAGATGACAGTGGGGAAAAGAGAACAAAATGATACAGAATGAAAAGTTAATGAATGTACTGTGTTATGCACATCAGTGTAACTATAACTTCTTCTAACTTCTTTTATGTCAAACACAGATAAAACTGAAATGCTTATTGTTGGGCCAGTCAAATGAATTAACTGTTTCAATGTATCCTTTGTACAGTATGTTAGTTCTTCTGTTGCTTTTACAGTTCTTTGTGTGTTAGGCAGTAGTGGAAAGAAACTAAATATGTTTACTCAAGTAATGTATATGTATATAAGTACAGATTTGAGGTACTTGTACTTCCTGTATGTCCACTTTCTACCACCACTACGTTACAGAGGGAAGTATTGTACTTTTTACTGTAATTATTGACCAACTTTAGTTACTAGTTACTCTACAAATTCATGTTTCCACAAAAGACACGTTGAAACAATTGATTAACAGAAAATGTATTTCTTATTTTCTTCATTCATTTTTCATGCAAAAACATTTCATGGTTCCAGCTTCTAAAATGTGAGTATTTGCTTTTATATATATATATATATATATATATAAACAATCAATCAAATAATTGAACAAATAATCAGCAGATTAATCCATAATAAAAATAATCAGCAGTCAAAAAATACAAAATAGTTCAAATGAGTTCCACTTCAACCAACTACAACAGAAAAATCCTGCATTTATGTTAATGCAGGCTAATGCAATAATAATAATACTTGTATATATTGAGTACTTTTTAATAATCTAAGTGCACCTTCCTGATTATACTTACATACTTTTTAATTTTCAATGCAAAAGTTTTACCTGCAATGTAGTGTCAAACACAGGAGTACAGTTTCAGTGTAAGACTAATTCCACCGAGATGCACCACAGGAAGTCATTCCTGCCTGTGGCCATCAAACTCTTCAACTCCTCCCTCAGAGTGTCAGACACTCATTAAACCGGTGCCTGTAATGTTCTCTGGTAAATGTGCAATATTCGGATTAATGAGCAATATTCTGGCTTATTCGCTTATTCTTAAGGATGTTAACATATTAACATTATCAGTGCTATTTTGTTATTACACTTATATTGATCATGTAGCATACACTTACTTCTACCTCTGTATATTGTGTTATAATGTATATACTTAGACTTTTATTATATTTTACTGTTTCTGTTTTATTTTAATTTTATATGTATATACGGATATATACATTTCTATATTTATTTCTAGATATACTGTTAGACATTGTAACATAATTATTATTTCTATTCTTTAACATTGTGTGAGCACCTTGAGCTGCTGTAACTGAAAAAATACTCTCCCCAGGGGATCAATAAAGTATTTCTGTTTCTGATTCTATCAGCGTGATAGTAATACTTCTTCCACAACTGATGGTGGGACACTTCCATGTAATAATGTGTTATCATAAAACTTGACTTGAGTTGTTCTCTCTGTGTGAACAAACCATTTGTTGTTGCCACTGGGAGCGTTTTGCTGTCCTGCGCTGTGACTGGCACTGGCACCCTGAGCGGGGTTGTCTGTCGCCACTCGGATGATGTACAGCAGGCAGGTGAGCAGCTTCAGGGAGAAGTTGAACACACGAATCCTAAGACCTAAAGGCGAGAGAAGGAGCCATTTTCCAAACAAATACTCACCACAAACACCACTACAGCAGTACTGGATAATGGGATTTATGAATAACTCATAAGCAACATCAGCGTGTGTAGATTTACAGTGTGGAATTCTCTTTAAATCTGTGGTTACTAAGCAAGAAATGTGTGGGATTCTCAAGTACTGTTGTTTTCTATATCCTGGTCTCATTAGGTTTGAATTTGTGGGTATTGCTTTTATTGTGTTGACCTTTAATGCACCCTTTCAATTACACAACATGTAATGTAAGAAGATGAGCTGCACCATGCACTTACTTGATCTTTGGTTTTTGATAAAGAAAAGCTTAAGACGCTCCTTGAAGGTGTTTTCATTCACATAAAACTCTACCTGCACCCTAACGGGAAGAGAAAGAGAGAAGAAACACAAGAATCAGCAGCACAAACAGAAGAAGCAACGCAGATGGGGTTTTTTTCTATGCGGTTTTTAAAGCATCACATTTTGCACAGTATGAATATTCATAATGTTGTTTTTCTCCCGAGGAGGGTTTGGTAATTGTCTCTGATTTGGTTCCCAATTACGAGACAGGGTATCTATAGGACAAGCAGCTCAAACCAAAGGAGAAGAGCAGCTGTCACGGTATGAAGGATCAATTCATCCAGAATTAAAATCAAAATAGAAAATTGTACATATTCATTATTATTATTTCAGTACCCAGGATAATTGGGTCATAATTAAATGAAAAAGTAAATTAAATATAATATGTATATTTTGAAATAGCATGTTTTCTCTGTTCAGACCAAATCCCCTCATGTACAACTTGATAAGACAGAGTGTGAAATGGTAAATGCAGAAAGAAAACAATATTTTTTAAAGGTTCTATGTAACTTGCAGAAAACTGTTAATAGCGACACCGTTGGCTATTAAGTGAACTGTAGTAAATGAACACTGAATGCTGGAAAATAAATTATTAGTTATACACCTTGGGTTCGTACAATTACATAATTTATTGTTGACTAAACTCAACATCATTTTTTATATTACATAAGTTTGTAATGTTATCATGGATCAGGTTAGCTGGTCAAGTAATTTTGCAAGTTAATAACATATATATTGTGTTATATAGTGTTTTGGTAGTAATAACATTAGCCAGAAAGCTAGAATTTGCCAGCCAGCTGCAATCCCGCCGTGCCGAATAACATTATGCCCACCAGGCCGCTGCAGCAGCCAACAAAGTAACCTGCGAACAGCAGTCAATTTACCAGCCAGATCAGCCCCGGGGAAGTCTGGATGGATTAGCTGACGTTGTCCACTCAACAGAATTTTGATAAATTAGCTAGCTAGCAGTTTGTCCTGTTGGTTGACATTAGCAGACTCCATTTATAAGCTAATTTTAGCTAGAGCTGCACAGTGTTGATATGTCTGTGGTTGAAAAGCGGAGGGAAAATTTCACATCCTTTGAATTTTCTGTCCCAAAACCTTTTCATATAAATCAGGCTGATTTCTATAAAGGAAGATATAGAAAAAAAGACACCTCATAACGTATGACGCACTTTTTTGTTGACAAAATGTTAAAACATTTGTTTATTCAGTGTGTAATAGATACACATTCATACAACTGGATGATGTAAGAACCACTTTAGGTTACAACAATGATAAATAAAAAATTTGTTCACTTTATTCCATATATAATTTTTTGTCAAAGCCACAGGGAGCCACTGCAGATGGTTACATAGACAATGGTTCCCTGTGTTTGTATTAAAGAGGTGTAGCACTTTAAATCTGACTCACATAATAAAACAATTTTAATCTTAACCAGGTTTTGGAACCGTTTCAGCATTAATGCATCACAACTTTCTCTGTGCTGGTGCCCTACCGCATGCAGCCGATGCCCTTTTTATCTCATGTTTTGCCCCTGCCCTTCAGACAGTCCACCACTGCCTTCAGGGGTAGCTTTTTGTGAGTAAAAAAAATATGCCCTTTTCCAAATCTATAAACAAAATTATATAAGTGTGAAACAATAGTACATGCTGGATGTTAATTTGTGAGACAAAGCACAGCAGGAGAAACAGACAGAGAGAAGAAGCAGAACTCATACAGCAGATTGCTTGGCAACACACAGATGTAATGTATAATGTTCACAGTGCTGCCTTCAGGAGAGAGCGCAGACTGGGAAAAATGAAGAGACAGTGCAAGTATAAGAGAGATTAGTAGAATTTGAGGACAGCTGAAGGTTTGTGAGGCTGTGCTGTTGTGGTAGTAATCCCAGATTTTGGCCTGTGGCTGAGAGGTTCACAGTAGGTAGGAAAAAGCAGTGTGGGTTGTTGGACGCCCCGACATCTCTTCGGTGTGCACTGCAACATCATTGTACACCCCTAAAATAGGCCGTACGGCGATAAAACTATACCACAGAGTGCAGGAAACCCTTCAGATGTGAAACAATGAAATCTTCTCCAATGAGCTCTGAAAACAGCTGTCACATCTGGGCAACAGCAGGGCAGAGATGAGCTCTGGCGGTAAAGGCACTTCAACTGAGAGTCCTACAGATTGCTCTCCGTCTGTCTGTCTGTCTGTCTGTCTGTCTATCTTTGTGTCTCACCCTTCCACCCACTCACACGCACATAATGGTGCAAGTAATGACCCATAATCAGCTCCTGTTGAGCACACAATTACTAACTGAAGTGGTCTGACATTAGTCATACTGCGGTGTCACATCGGAGTTTCAGGCAATAAGACGTGCAGCTCTGGGAGTAATCAAATCTTTTAAAACAACTAATTGCGGCTGAGCAAGTTCTGCAAGTACAATCAGCTCTGAAACAGGCCTGCTTTTATCAAATCCGTTCATCCCCGAGGTGTTCATCACTAACAAAAAGATCTGTTGCTCTGAATACAGAAAGTTAAAATAAAAAATTAAAGCACACACACACACACATACAGGCACCATATCAAATATAGCTGAAACAATTAGCCAATTAGTCAATTAGTTAATTAACAGAATGATTTATGTGCTTCTTCACACAAAAATTAGCTACTGTGATGAAGTTCCAGCTGCTCAATTGTGATGCTTTTCTTTGTCTTATGTAATAATAAACAAGCAAGCAATGAGAAAATAAAGTTGCAGTCCTAAATTATGAAACTCTTTTCTCTTGTGTCTTTAATAAATCCATTATTATAATTATTATTATTACTATTATATTAGAGCTAATTGGCAAATTTATAAAAACGATTAAACTAGCAATAATGTAAAATAATAGTAATAATAATAATAAGATAAAAATCACTGTGGCTCTAAAATTCGAATATATTTTTTTTTATGTTAATATATTAATCTTATATATTATATATATATATTAATATATATTAATACGTAATTTGTCCAGCTAATAAACACTTTAAATTGCTGTTAAAACATTAGTTGATTAGTTGACAGACATTAAAAATATATATTTATTTATTTTATTTTTTTAAATAAATTGATGTTATTTCTTTAGCAAAAAGAATAACATTTTGGCTTTGGATTTTGTAATATTTATCGCACAAAACAAGTCAATTCTAAAAATCAACTTGGAAATCGTGAGAGGCAGAAAATAATATAGCGATGGCTAAAGACAATCGTTGGTTACTTAATATCACACCCGTTGTGTTGATGAATTAAAATAAACTTTCAGGTTCTTACAACTATATAAAAAAATTAAAAAAAATAAACACGAAGGCATTTCTGTGCATCTCAGCAGTTTTTAGGCGCGCTTATCAAATTGGTCTGAGGGAGCTCCCGTTGTTTGCCTCCTCCATCTGCAAATGAATTGCACAAGTGCGAACTGTCTCAGTTGAAAAATAAAAATGAACAATAACAATAAAAAAACAACAACTTCCCATTCCCATTCAGCACATGCAACTCCTCTCCACTGACATTAGGACATCATGCGCACTTATGAGGAACACCTCTCTGCTCCATGTGGCCCTACCTCTGCCCGACATCAGGGTCCGACCTCCAGGTGCCCACGGACGGGCTGACCCAGGTTGGGATGATGATCTTCGGATCCATTGTCCATTGACACCTGTAGCTGCGTCGTGCAGTCAGTCTTAATTCCTATACAGTATAAAAGCTTGTTGACCAACGCTCCCTCCCCGCAGCTCTAAAACAACACAGCACTAACTGTGTTTGTCGGAACACCAATTATTTTTACGCTTTAAAGAAAATTTAAAAAAAAACGTAACAAGAATTTAAAAAAAAAATCTGAGACAAAGCAGTGCTTGATTAGTCATTTAATTAAAGGGATGAAGAGCTTATTGGAATATTTTTAGAAATGTATACAATCTCTCTCTCTTTCTTTTTCTCTCGTGCGCGGGCCTGTTGCCACAGCAACGTTGCTATGACTGGAATAACCCTAACTGATGCTGTTGCAGCATGTCCCCTCCTTGTAGCAGCACTGCAGCTCCTCACAAAGCTGTAAACATTCCCTGAGACACACTGGAGGAACGAATCAGTCGCACATAAACACTGATTTGTCTTTTAAATCTTCTTTATGTATTATCTGTTTGTTTTTTTGCATCATTGGCTCCAGTGTGTCAGTATTTAGTGAGACTAAGCCCTCATGACTTACAGCCTACAAAGCCGAAAGGCATGTGCCGTCTGTCTTTCTGTTTTGCCCTTCTGTCAAGAGAAAGCAACAAGAGGCGGGCGGCGGTCGAGCTCTCTCTGCTCGGTTGATGTGAAAGGTTTTGGCAACACAAATGACAGACGACAGCAACAAAAGATGCTTTTTTCCTTTTTGGATTTGAGTAGAAAATACAGACAAGAAGAGAATCAAGAACAATGTACGATGCTCTGCTCTCTCTGTCTCACTCTCTCTCTCTCTCTCTCTCTGCTGTCCCTCCCACCTTTTTGTCTTCTCCTAATTTGAAGAGTCTGAAGTAGTAATTTATAGATGACCTCCTCCATGAGTCAGTGCTTTTGCAAATACCAGAAGAGGCCACTCCACTTGAACTCCCTTTCGCCCACACTAGTACTGTAACGCCACTCATTGTGGCTTTCCAAGTTACATGAGAAGACCCTCACACTATAACTCATGCCTGTTAAATATGTGACATTTTCACTTAAGTGTTCCACATTTGTACATCGCTAAGTTTAGCTTGCAGTGACGTCACTCAGGTGGAAATACAGACAACATGTAAAATGAAAGGAGAAAAAGAAGAATGTACAAAGGAGGGAGGTGGGACTGAGAGAAAGACTACAGCTTCCATTAAGGCTGACAGGTTTACAATAATGTGCATACCGTTATGTGTTTGTGTTTCTTCTCATGCGTGCCTGTCTTTGAGAAAAGGAGCATTTTGAGTGATGGACGATCCCCGGGCAGATGTGACATTTGGTATTTCACAACACAGCTGCTGCATGGACACAAGCCTGAAGACTGACCACTGAACATTTAACCTGAAGCATCACTTACCTCCAACAACACTATCTACAGGGGACAGGAGACGGGTTCATTTGCAGGGAAAGAAGAGAGTAATGATAATAACTGTCTAAACTGGAGCAGAGAATCTAGACAGCTTTATCGAGGAGAAAAGAGTAGTTGTTGCAAGGACAGCTGGGGAAAGGTCACATTTGACTGAAAGTATTGGCAGAGCTTGTTGTTTTTTCCTCGTCAAATAGATTTGTCAAATATTACAAACAGCACTCAAAGGTTTGCTGTTGCTGTAATCACATCTAAAATTAAATTTTATCATCACTCTCCCAAGGTCCATCTGGCAGAACACCAGAATATATACTGAGCAAATATCTTTAGAAAATGCATATATGAGAGTATGACTAACTGTTCTGGATTGTTGAATTTAGCTCTCTTCAGAACCGCTGCAATTACAGAAAAAGGGACACGTGTTTTTTTTTTCCAAGTTATTTTCAGACTAGAAGCAGATCTCAGAAAAAAGCACCACTACTGATCTTGTCTGTCAAGCTCAGACGCTGCAGCAGAGTACAGCACTGAATGTACAAGAGGAGAAAGTGTGCATGAGGAAAGACAGATGACAGAGGGACTGATGGTGAGATCTCATTTTAAATGTTCAACAGCATTGTGAATTAGGTCACAATGCTGTTGGAAAACATGTTTCAGTCAAACTTCTTCAAGTTTCAAATAAATTCTTGGGAGAATGTATCAAACACACACACAATCTAGTCAACTTCACAACTCACAAAAGCAGAGCGATTCAAAAACTAAGTATTTTTCAGCACCATGGACAGCACCCCAAGCTCCACAATGTTTTCTAGGCTTCATTTCCACCACTTAAACCAACAGGGTTAGAAAAAACACTTCACACTGCACTTGTATATGTTTTTGTGTATGCTAAGACTGCAGGGGATCGAAAAGGTAAACACTCTCATGCACAACAACTCTGATGTAACTTTAAAATAACTACAAACACTGTCACAAAGGTGTGTCAAGTGGGGCTTAAATGCCAATTAGGTTGTCAGCTGGTTAAAAAGAGGTCTGGCAATCAGCACTTTTGATAGGCGAAAAAGCAACATAAGATGACTAACAGAGCTGTAATGAAGTCAAATTGAATCAAAAAACCTGAAATGAAGCTGGATGAATATAATGGACAAATACTATTTGGTTACAGTCTAATATGCTGCTTTTATTAGCGGCATTTGCAATAGAGTAATTTAATGTTACAAAAGGCCTTCTCATTAAGGGTTTTCAAACTGCAACCTATGATCATAATTCTTTGCCTTTATTAATCTTTTCACAGTTTCAGCTCATTAGTAATTTGTTGGATCCTGAAGTAATTTAAATGTCTTGTTTTGATGCAAACCAACAGTCCTAAACCAAAATACTACTATTATTAGTATTAAAGAATGCTAAGAAAACTAGCAAATATTCACATTTGACAGTCTAGAAGTAATGAAATTTTGGTCATTTTTGTTGATGACTTAATTGATCAATTATTAAAGTGGTTATTTTTCTGTCAGTAGACCAGCAATTCCCAACCAGGGGTACTTGCAGTTGCTTGGGGTGCATTCAACTAATTTGAAAACACAATAGTTGGCTAAAAGTAATAAATAACTGGATCAATAGCCAAATTTAATAGAATAGTTCAATTTATAAATTACTGAAATAGCTAGTAACGTTACGGGATAAAAGGTTAAATAAGTTAGTTAAAATTCATGAATGGACATCAGCTGAAATTATTAGCTAAAAGTAAAAAGTTGAAATAACTGGCGTGGCCAATGAAGGGATGGTTGAGTTCATCGGACGAGAATGTGGGGGAATGTCTGGACTAGCTTTAAAGTATTAGAATGTTATCTATATCTGATGGTCAATATCTTGGTATGTCTCTCACAATGACACTTTTTTCACCAGAAAAACCCTCACTGCTCTCTCGCAGCTGCCTACCTGTCATCATTCTGGAAGCTCTGGTCCCCGAGCAGCAGGTCTCTGAATCGGAAGCGGGGCGGCAGCGGAGGCACCTCGCTCTCCTGCTGCTCCATCTTAAGAGTGGAGATGTCTAAGATAACCCCGCTGCTGTTGATGGTGGTCTGGAGCGGCGCTGGAGAGGAGCTGGTTGAGGGAGAGGAGAACAGTAAAGAAACAGAAGGGAGACAAAAGGGAGAAATGCAAATCTGAGGGGAGCAGGAGGGACAGGCAATGTTGAGAAGGAACAAGGAGCAGGAGAGGAGAGGAAGCAAAGAAAAGACATAGAAAAAGTACAGTTGGTGGATTGATACAGGAATGCATAAGAAAAATGCATTCCTGTATCAATCCACCAAAAGAAGATACTGTCAAAAAACAGAATTCCTAGTTTATATTCTCCACTCTGAGCTTGGTTGGTGTAATTAGGCTCTTTCACTGTATGTTTGCAGCTTGTTGTGTAACATGAGCTGTTCAAACTGAAGTCATACAGAAAATCAGCCAATTAAAGCATCACACTGTGTCTGTAAGCACACAGTTGAGCTTAATTAGTAGAAACTGAAGTACAGCTAGTAACGCTGTATGTACACAGGTATTTCTCATGATAGATCTGTCCAAGGTGTGAGCAATAAAGGATTTAGAGAGTCAATGCACACCACTTCAACCATTTATTTTGGTGTGGGAAGGTTTCAGTCAACTTACTCTTCCACATTTATCTGACTGAAAAAATAACAATAATAATCACAACCATCATCATTTGTGTAGCAGAAGTACATTTTTTGTTCTCCCCTGCCTCAATAATCATCTTATGGCCTTTCAGATTTATCTTGTGAGCCTTTTGTTGGAGCTCAACCCCTACATCTATTCCTACTTAAATTACATTAGTCTACTTATACCTCCCTATCCCGTTGATTCAACTCGTGTAATGTGAGAAACTGTAATGTACTTGTTTTGCCTAAAAGAGGTATAAAACACTAAGATCACTTGAGTAAACTGGACTTGTAACTTTGTGTTCCTGGAACGAAAGCTGAGCTTAACATTGCACGTGTGCAGTAGAGCAGCAGTACGGGAGAAGTTTCCAGAAACAGTTTGGACTGGAAACAGAACATTTTCTGAGTATAGGTTGAGAACCACTGGACTGAAATACCTGTAAACTATAAGTAGTTAAAACTAGCTCCACCTCAAAAAGCTACAGCTGTAAAACATTGCATGAGTATAACTAATAATAAAACATATAATATTTTTTCACTCCAAGGGGGCATTTTTTTGTTGAATGAGTAGGTTTACTTTTGATACTTTAAGTACATTTAGTTGATAATAGTTCTGTTTGAGTAGGATTTTAAACACAGGACATTGTTGTTTTGGTACTTTAAGGATCAGAATACTTCTTCCACCACCTGTTTCTACTAATGCTATCACTCAAAGAGAGGTAGAGAGAGAGATGGGATGACATGCAGCAAAGGGCTACAGGTCGGATTCAAACCCATGCCCACTGCAGCAAGGATTTAGTGCACATGGGGGGCCAGCGCTACCAGGTGGGCTATCCAAGTGCCCCAGATCCTGCTTTCATCTTGATATCAAATCATAAAATCTGTAGGATAGCACATCTGGTTAGCTGGATGAAGAGCACACAGCAGATGTTGAGTCAGCCTTATTCAATCAGCCTGAGTAACATGCAAAGGAGGAATGAAGTGCAATGGGATGTTACCTTTGAACCAGGATTAGAAGCAGTGCGGAGAACACTTGAAGGAATGAGATGAATGAGATGTTGAGTAAATGTTCTGATTTTATTTTTTTTATACTGTTTGGAGAATACACTGCAGATTCACTTAATAGAAGTTTTTGTCTCCAAACATCCTTCCATTAAATATTAGTCATTGCAGGGAGATGTAAGAGATGGACTTTATGATGCAAATGAAGTGTAAGTGGTTTTTGTGGGAAATCCTCTCGACTGAATGCGAGTTTTTCAGTCCCTTCCTAGAAACTAAACTTATATATTATGTAGAGAGGCGAGGCAGGCAGAGTGTAGAAAAGCCTTGAACCTCTCTTTCCTCTTTCTCTACATCACTGTAACTGTTTGCTATAGTCCTCCATTAAGCTTGTCAAACGTATTACATAATAGATGAAGGGTATATTTCCCATGTGGTTTTTGTAAAATCCATCCATCTAATTTAACCAAACAAAGCCCAATGGCAAAGATCGGATGAGAGGTTTTATGATTAGAATTTTCTTCGGTAAAAAGTAACATAAATGTTCCAAGAAGACACACAAATACAGAGACCAATACATTACAACATTATTTAACATGTGTATTATGAGATTTAGTAATGCAAACATATTTAAAGTGATCCAGGCTGTAATAGTGGAGACAGAGACAGAGACAGAGGGCAACACTGAACAGCTGAACACACAACAGTGCTGCTGACAGGTACACAGTGAGGCATGTTTACGCACGGCAACACAACTGACTGGACACAAAATATTAATTTTATTATAACAATAATATAAAGATAGATACATTTATTTTATTCTAATAAATCCCTCATCTTCTAAGCACGCCACTGACTGTGGACATAACTTTGATGTGTTGGAGTGAAGCGCCTACTAATCTCCTCATATGATACATAAAGTTTGTCTTCTTACTGCTGATGGTGCGTGTCTTTCTTACCGTGGTTTGTGGTCGTTCACGGTCCCATCATCGTTCACAAATGTCTGGTTCACGTAACATTCACTGCACATTTTGGCCGGAGATCCGGCGCTGCCGTCGGATTGGAGAGCTGCGGTGGTCGGCGTTGAGTCACCCTTGACAAAGTCTTCTTCCTGGGTTAATTGCATCGGAGGGTGATCTGCCCAAAAAGGAGTGGACACCCCGGAGAGAAAAGATGCGCTCTTTTAAAAAGCCCCGGTGATATCTCCCTGTGCGGATGCCCACCTTACCTATTCAGGTGCATCTTGGAGGTATGGAGGAGTTGGGTTTTTTTGTCAGCCTGCGCAGAAAACAAGCTGCGAGCAAAGTGACAACTGGCGAATGAACTCTTTAAATAGACAAACTGAAAGATGCAAATGAAATCATTTGGGTGTCAAAAGAAAAAAAAAACAGAGTGCAACGTGAGAGGGGAAAATAAAGTGTGAGATGCAGAGGACAGGTCTGCAGCAGTGAACATGACGGTGATGACAGCTTTCCTTGCTGAGGTATCGGTACACCTAATGACATAACTGTTGAATTATCACCCAACTCCTGATGAGGAGAGAGAGATTAGCACCATCTGCTGGAGGCTGTGGGTCTCTCAGCTTCTCTACAATGAAAATATGGGAACATATTTGGACAAAATGTAAAGTATTTTCAGCCTGATATGCAAGATAATGATGAATAAACACAAAAATGACCACAGAGATGAAGCAATGTTGTGATATAAAGGGGGGAAAATGCATTATCAGCTTCAAAATGTTATAATTTATCACATGAATACTGGATTATATTGTACAAGTGTTTTTTCTATCATTATGTCAAACGTTCTCGGATGATTTATTAAATTTTTTTAATTACATTTTATTTGTATAACGCCAATTCATAACAATGTTATCTCAGGACTCTTTTCAAATAGTGCAGGTCTACACCGTACTCCTTATACAATTATAACAGTTCCCACCATGAGCAAGAACATGTAAAAGTAAATACAAAATGGTAGAAATACTACATTACAAGTAAAGGTCCTGCATTCAAAATCCAGAAGTATTAGCAGCAACATGTACTTAAAGTATCAAAAGTAAGAGTACTCATTCTGCAGAAAGATGGCCCAGCTTTGACACAAATTACATCATTGGGTTAGTAATACTGATGTATCAGTGTGTAAGTCGCAAAAAAAAAAGGTTGGGAACTATTGGTTTAATCTTTATCAATGCTTGTATGTATCATCTGTTTTAAAATGTAAAATCTGAATCTGAAAAGTAGCTAGTAAGCTCTCAAATAAAAGTAGTAATGTAGAAAGTACAATATTTCTCTCTGAAATGTGGTGAAGCAGAAGTAGAAGGTAGCATAACATAAAAATACTACATTTACCTTAAAATTGTACTTGTACAGTACTTGAGTAAATATAGGCCTTAGTTACCTTCTACAAATACTTTGCACAAGAAACTATTTCAGCTTTATGTGCAGAATGAAACAATGTGATGAATACTAACAAATTCAGAAATTACTGTCTATACTATCTACTACTATCTACTTTCTGTTAATTTGCCTATAACTCATATCTGATGTGTTATATTTTTGCCTTTGCGTGAAACAGGACAGCAGCCATTACATAGATTGGAGATTTATTTATTAAAGTGTACTGTACCACATGGAGTCCAACCCTTGTGTGATTACAAGACAGCAACATTAGACACAAGATGATCACAGATAAAAAAATTAATATATTTCAAAAGATCTTATCTACATAACAGAAATGTCCCCTTCTGAAGGATACATTGTCTCATTTCTCCAAAATCTCTCGAAAAGGACAGTTTTTTGAAGCAGGGTCATATCCATAGTCAACCCGACGGTTTAGTCTGGTAGTGTGAGAGCATAGTGGGATATAATGGCTTCAGTTTCCTGTCAAGAAGGGGCAAAGATTCGAACTATGCCTTTAAAAACTCAATATATGAGAAGTTTTAGGTCTCTTCAGGAATGTCTTTATATCTGCCTACCTCAAGAGAGCTAAAGGAGATTCTCATAAACACACTAATCCCAGACGTCACAGATAGATGATATGTGTGTATCAGGACAGCAGGGTGAAAGGAATTCAATAGGTTGATGATGATAGGATGATTCATCGTTCAAGTATAATCTTAAAATCCCACATTCTCCCACCACTTGGTGCCTGCTGTCAGTGTTTCCCAGGTGTGTTGAGCTCAAGCAGCAGATCATCCCACCTTTCACACAGAGGAAACCCAGGAGGAGTCTCTTACTCTCTAACAGACAGCAGGGGGAAGGCACAAAGGGGCCGGCAGCATCACCGGGATTAACAGCCCTCTCTTGGGATAAGGGGTAATGCTTACGGTTCGTATTTCAGTGCAATGCCAAAGACGATGATTGCAGCACAGCCTGATATTGGTAAATATTAGAGCTGGAATCAGAAGAAACTGAGTTTAAAAAAATGTTTTGTCTCTTTGTTGTAATCCTTCAGGAGAAGGCCACAAGGACTGAACACCAGTGATGAAAATCATAAAAGCAGTGGTGGATTAAACACTGAGATCTTTTACTTAAGTAAACAAACCAATACCATGATGTATAACTACTCCATTACAAGAGTCATTGATTTAAGTCATTACAATGAAATGTACTCTATGGATTATATATATTATTATATTTTACAGGTAATTCGGTTCAGTAGTTTGGTTCAGTGGTTCCAAACCTTGGCGTCTGGCCCCTCCAAAGGGTCACACAAAGGGGTTGTGAGATCATTTGTAGGCAAGGAAATAAGAAAAAATAAAATTCTGTGACATACTTTTCTATCAGGATTTTCTTAGCTCTCTTTAATTTTTAGTGAAATATGGTGTAGTGTGATCTATTTGGGTTGTTTCAATTAAACTATCTGGAGATTTCACAGGGGAAGTCCCACCAGCTCACATCTGAGACATTACAATTGGTGCAAACTGGTTTATTCTTTAAAAAAATTGATTTTATAAGCTGAACGTGTGATCATTTAAAAAGTGTTCTGTGGTCATTTCAAAAAGTAACTAGTAACTTCTACATCAAAGTGGTGCAGTAAAAATTACAATATTACCCTCTGATATGTAGTAGAGCGACGTATAAAATAGCATAACATTTTTATACTCAAGTGCACAGTACTGCAAAACTGTACTTAAGCAGAGTACTTGAGTAAAAGTTCTTTAGTTACTTTCCACCATAGCATAAAAAACATGAGAAGGAAGAGAAGCCAAATGTCTTTCACTACGCAGCCAGAAGAAGAAATAAAATGCAAAAAAGATTGGATGTTATTTATTATTTATTTCCTTGTTTATTTGATGACGCAGACTGCAGCGAGTATTATGGAGACGTGGGAGAGGTGATATGATTCACTGGGGGTGACGGTGACTTGAGGTTGTTGAGTTTTAAGCTGGTGTGAGGTTTTAGATTGAGTCAGTTACTCTCACTGAAGTGGGAAGTCTTTTTACTGCTGGAGAGAAGTCACATCTGTGAGATTATCCCACCAGGGGAGATGCAATATGAAGGAAAGTTTTTCCAGCGGATTAAAAGAAAGTGTTGAATATGAATACAGTCATATAGGTTCCTGTTATATCTATATAATTATGTGTGTAATTAAACATTTATTCATTTAAAATCATCATGCAATATGCAAACCTCTGAGGAATGTGGTAAAAAACAGAGCCTGAGCTTTTGACAAGAAAATGGATCTGATGCAGTAGAAATACAATAATCTTTTCAGCCATGCTAGCGGGCACAACAACTATTAGGTGGATTGTCATATATCTCAACATGTAAAGACATTAATGATTCCCAGAGAATGAATCATAGTGACTTTGGTGACACCCTGACTTTGCCTTTTGTGATTCAGAGTAAAATGTCTCAACTATTGGATGGATTGCCATGAAATTTTGGATACATATCTAATCCAAGGTAGAATTGTAATCACTTTAGTTATACCTTCACTTTTCATTTGGCATCAACATAAGGTGAATGCTTAATTTTGTCCAATACTTGGGTTTATGACTAAAACCAGTGGAAGTACTGTGATCTTTTCCTTAAAGGCCCAGTGTGTAATATTTGGGAGGATCTATTGTCAGAAATGTAATATATATGCATGAGCATGTTTTCATTAGTGTATAATCACGTTAATATAAGAATCGTTATGTTTTTGTTACCTTAGAAGGAGCTGTTTTTATCTACAGATGGGTGGTTTTTGGGTGTTTTGTGGCCGTGGTAGTTTCTTCTTTGGACTTGGAAGGGGAGGGTGAAACGAGGGAGTTGTGTTAGATGCCACTAAATCCTACACCCTGGTCCTTTAAATAAAAATAGCAAGACCACAATGTAGAAATACTCTGTTACAGGTGAAAGTCTAAAGATATTAGCAGCAAAATATACTTTAAGTACCAAAACTAAATGTTGTGATAAGCACTTTAATGTTGCAGCTGGTAAAGTTGGGGCTAATTATAATTGCTTTATACTGATGGGTAGCTTGTGAACCTCTTCACTTTATTTGATGCCACAAAAAAATCCAATTGCTGTTTTAAAAAACCTTCAAGGTATATCTGACATTTTTTTAGAATCACATTTGTAGGTAGGTGTAATATTTCGATACGACCCTTGTGAAAGAACAAACAAAACAAACACATCTGTTGTCCGACTGCATCCTCTTTAATTACAAAAAATTTATTTAGAAAACAAAAATATTTTTGACACAAACAAATTCAATCAATGTCTGAAGGATGTGGAAAGCAGTGAAAAAGATATTGTATATGATGATGTGAATTTGTGCCTGGTTGGTGAACATTTGAGGGAATCTAGAAAGTCTCTAATTATTGCTTAAGTAAATGCTTAAGGTAATGACTCAGTAAGTAAACAGGTGTTGACTTGTTATAATAAGATGTGGAGACATATTGATGTCCACTGGTATCCAGTCATATGGTGATTCACAATAATAAGTAATGGCTCTATGCTTGATGCTTTTGTGTTTGATACACCTGCGATCTAGTGTTGCATATATATAAAGTTGGGTAACTTACAAGAGAAAATCAAAGTAACAGAAATTAAGATATCTTAGCTTTTAGTCTCTAATATTAGTCAGGCTCCAAAAACACTGGATCCTACATTTCCCATAATGCAACACAAAAGCCTATTTAATTAGAAACTCTGTCTTCTACGCAAGTCTAACAAACTTCACATCGCCCGTTTGTAACACAGGTTTTCTGTAAAGAATAAATCAGTTTCAAACTGAAAATAACCCTGATGATATTAACTGTTTTCCCAGGCTGTTTATGCTCCTTATGACAAACTTGATGTATAAAATGTGCCACTTTAATTCACTACTAATGAAAACTGAGGAATTGTTTTCCCTTTACTCTTACATTTCTATACTTTACTTCCTAGAGAAAAGAATCATGTTTTTGAGTCAGCCATCTTAATTAGACTGAACACTGTGTCCAAAACTGTTAAGGTACAATTATGTTTGCAAACTTTACCTTAGATTTTACTTTTATTACTCCCCCGTAGTTAGAGGATACTCATATTTAAGTTACTAGACTTACTCATGAGGTCAAATAAAGAAAAATGAAGTGAAATGAAGATGAAGATCAGTTGTTAAATGGGAATGTCTTATGAGAAAAGCCTGATAAATATAATAATGTCTGTTAATGACCTTGCTCAGGCAAAGAAGGTAAATAAAATTACTTCTATGAGTTAATGTTGAACATTGTTAAGCGTTTTTGGAAAATTATGTTAAAAAACTAAGAAAGTTTTAATCAACTGAACTATTTATCACCACATCCTGATTTGTTAGAACATGTAGAGAATGAGTTCATTATAACAGAGTATAATACGTTCAGTCAGATTATTTAGGCACTTACCCATTACTTAAACATTAACTAGAAACCCATGAAGTGTATGCGTGTTGGAATCAGTCTGCTCCTTCTGTGCTGACTGTGGCCACAGCTGACACATAGTAAGGTCCCTCTCTGAGATAAGTCTTCAGACGGATGTAATGCTGGCTGCCCAGTATCTCTGCTGCTGTTGACGAACACACCAGTGACCCCACCAGTGCAAACTTGGCATCTTTGGCCTCCTTTGTCTGACCCGTTGAACGATCCAAAACAAACTCCATGAAACTGGGAGTGCTGATCATTAACTTCTGACCCCAAGGCTGAGTGGCAATGGCCTGGAAAACACACGTAGGGATACAAATATTACTGGAGCAGCATTGATGGCTTTATGTGTAACAAAACAAGTCTGAGTAAATGTCTTAGATTAAGCAAGATTTCAGTAACACAGTGAGGAATTAATGGTAGTTAAAAACAGCTGATCACTCACAGTGAATATCCTCAGAGCCCCACAATGCAGCTCTGGGAACGGCTGAGTGCTAATGTTGCTAATCATGTCCATGGGATGGTTAGACAAAAGGTGGAACCAGGACTCTGTCAGGGCCAAGATGTCTTCTGTCTGCTGCTCTGGCTGCAATAAAACATTACAGATTCATTAACTGATCAACTTTTTTCCCTTTCTGAAGGTGGCATTATGTAACTGAATATTCCTTATGCGTGCACACATACCTGTAGAGTGAGAAGTTGTGATATGGCGTCCAAGCTGCGCACGCGGAGGTCTGTAGCTCCAGCGCTGGCAAGCTGGCTCATTCTTAACAACACAGATTTGAACTTTTCTCCTGAAGACACAAAGAGAATCGGTCACAAGAGATCAGCTATAAGTACAAGAAATATAAAGATGCTGAGAGGAGCTCCTTTGGCTTTTATTAAATAAAACCTAGGACGGAAAAAAAGAAAGATAACAGGCAAACCTGTTTTCTGAAGGACCTGCTTCCCCTCCACAGAGGAGCCGAGTAATCCCAAAGTGTCCAGAGCCACGCCGATCATCACAGGGTCTGGGTCCAGAGCCATCTCAAACACCTTGTTCTGGAAGGCCGGGTAGGTTTCACAAACCTGCTGTGGGCTCTCCATAATGGCCAGGTTTCCAAAGAACTTCACCAAACCTACAGGAGTAATACTTTCACTGTAAACAACTGAATAATGCAGCATTGAATTGCTGTAAAAAATACTCCACCTAAAGTAAATACAAGAGGACTGTTCAGGCTGTGTTTCTGTATTTTCTTGGAGAAATTTTCTAAAAGAGACTCACCCGGAAGGTAGAGGGAGGAGAAAGGGTCGGTGTCTGCCCCTCTGATCATGTTGGAGATCTTATCCATTATACCCTGCTGGGCCAAATACTGCCTGCCATGCTGACTGTGTGCTAGAGTGGTCACCATCTCAGTGGCTGTAGCTCTGGAGAGAAAAAAGACACACATTTCAGCATGAAAGAGGAATAAAGACAGATATTAAAAGGAAGAGACTGTGAAAGCAGCAACTCTTAATTTGCAGTAACTACATTGTAATTTTCCACACACAACTTCTCTGTTTTTAATGACATGATTAATCTTATTACCTGATCAATACATCATCTCCTGTCAGTTCTCCAAGCAGCTGAGAAATTAAGCTGCTGTTGGCACAGTAACCGAGGGAAATGGGAGACATAGACGAGATCTCCACCACCAGCTGCAGGCAGCAAGAGAAGCTTTTATTAGGGAATCAGTATGAGAGCTGTTTCACGTGTGCTTAAGTATACGCATTACAAACACATGCGTTCATTTCATGAGATGTGTCACAGAGCACTAACTATAGAGGCAGGAACAATAGAGAGAATCTGTGTTTGGCAGCATTGGAGTGTGTGATTTAGTGCAATTTTCCAGCTGATTAAAGAGTCTGCTAGATGACTGCAAGATGATTTTATGAAAAGAAAAAAAACTATACACTGGGGGGAAACAAACGTGGAGTTCAACTGTCATTCCACTGCCGCCATATGCATGATTACAAGAGCCATCTGGAATTAATTAAAACTGTAATATAACTTAATCTAAGCGCCCATTTTCTGGCATGATTCCTTGTTGTGATTAATCATCTTTTCCACTGATTCCATCCAAATAAATGTTACTTAAAAACTGTATGTCACAAAAAAAAAAAAAGGTTGCCATTTTTGCAGCCACAAAGTATCCAAACACATTTGAACGTACCTCATATATTCTGTACCTGACAATGTCACTTGTGGCCATCACATCCTTCATCACTTTCAGCATGTCGCTCTGGAACAATTTGTCCAACCCGGGTTTGGAGTGACTCAGTTTAGACAAGGTCTGGATTGCCTAGGAAACAAAGCAGTTACTGCACCCGCTGTAGGTTCATTAAAAACCATATGCAGGATTTTTCAGTGCTTCGGTCATCACCTGCTTTGCTACAGCCAACATCTCTTCCCCGATGCAGTGAATCACCGCTTGAAGAATGTCGTGGTTGTTGAGGATTTCGGTGACAGCGTCGGGGTGCTCCACTATTCTGCCGATCTGACAAAGAACAAAAAACATTGGCAAGGTCAGTGGCTTAAAGGCTCTTTTTGTTTTGTGTGTGCGCGTGCCGTGTGTACGAGTAGCCCACCTGTGTCAAAGCCAGTATCTTAACAGTTTGAGTGGGATGGGTCAGACCCCCCCGCAGCTCCACTCTGTAGTTCTGGGCCAAGCATGTAGGGCTGAGGGCCATTAAGATGCGTTCAAGGATGTCCACACACAGCTCAACCTGCTCCCTGTGAACACAGCTCACATTAGGAACTCTAATAAGCAATTCTAGGGCTGCAACTAATTATTATTTAAACAAAATAAAGTAGGAAGTAAAATGTTAGAACATAATGAAACATATAACAACCTGCTGAGCCCATGTTCTCATATTCAAATTGCTTGTTTTGTCAGACCACTGAAGCCCAAAGTTACTCTCTTTTCTACCATATACTAAGAAAAACAGCAAATATGTACATTTATAAGAGGTGGACTTACAGTGGAGCTGTGTGGAAAGGTAAAGAGTATTTGAACCGTGAGATGTGTTTATTTTGTAGCGCTGTACTCCTGCACACAGAACTTCAAATGAAGCCATATCCACGCAGTTTAAATGCTAATTTGCAACACTTTCTGCTTGCACGGTACATAAAATAATATAGGGGATATAAACACCGTGAATATAACACAGGGCTACACAATGAACACTGTTAATGTCCACACCTGCACTGCAGGCTGCAACAGTTACACATCTGATAGCATTGTAGCCCGACAGCCTGCAAACGAGCACAGGTTGAATCGTTTTCAACCTAAAGTTAGCTCACCCAACCGGTATGTTAACTCACTGTTCAAATGTGCACATGTTAAAATCCTGACAGCTCACTGACTCAGCAGTTAACACCCATTAACAAGCTGCATTGTATCGAACCAACCTTTGATTTGAGTTTAACAAAGAGAATATCACGTTTAAACGCTGCCCGCTCACTGAGTCTCTCAACGCGCTCACAGGGATCGATAATATGGCTGTTTTTAAACTCTGCAGCTCTTCAATTGGGTCTTCGACGCCGGAGATTTCCTCCAGTAAACTCTCGATGGATGCAGCCATGACTGTCAGTGTTTTGGGAAACTACCGACAAACCGAGTCTGCCTTCTTCGGCTTTCCTTCTTCATACGTTATGGCGCGGTACCGCCGCCTGGTGGGCGGACCTGGCTACTACATGATCGATACTTAATCACCAATAAAGTTATGGAAATTTATTTTAAACTCACTTTTATATCTAACTAAAGATTTTAATGTTATTTTTTTTATATATATATATATCCATTGAAAGTAAATCTATTTATATTACCATTCCAGAATAAGTAGAGATGCATTAAAGAAAAACTTTTATTTATCCTCAACTAGTTTAAAATCTAACTTTCAAAGGCAATATCAACATTATAATCAAGATAATATTGATAATGATGCAACTGAATGTCTACAATGGTAAAAACATTTAATGAAAATACACTAAAATACAACATTTCTGATACAATCTGTGAAGCCATACTCAGGCCATTACTGGGAGTTTTACTTTAAAACACATTTCTTATCATTTCAGTTTCAGTTTGGGCAGTGTATGCAGCTTTATCATGTGAAACGTGGAATAATCCTGACTGCATCAAGGATCACAGTCTGGCAGCAGCTCTTTGATGTTGACTCTTAATTCTGACCACAAGGTGACGCCAGATGATTCATCATTATTGAAAGTTATTTAAAGCGGGAACCTGGGACTTTAGGAAGACACTAAACCTCCAAATGCTGTAGTACAACAGTCTGTTGGCAATGTCCAGGTAGAGAATAGAGAAAAGAATATGTTTCCGCTGTGGGAAATATCTAGCACAATATGAATACTTAATATTATTAATATAAATAGTAGGCAGGCTGGGTAACTCACAAGGTCACTCCCGTGGAAGACAACCCTCTGATATAAAGGGCTCATCAGATTAGGCTCAGACTGAACTTGGACAGAGTTGCTGAACTAACTGTTAATTCACCGTCTATGATTCGTGTGTGACGGTATTTGAGGAGTGTTTTCGGCTGTTATTACTACCAGGTTTGCTTGGTGCTGCAGACATTGCCCCGAAGTTGCAAATGCCAGGTTGATATCATGTTTGATCAGAGTCCGTCACTAATGAACAACATGGCTCATTTGCTTCTCACATCAGAAAGGACGTGAAACCAACAGCCATCTCACTCATGGTTAAAACTATAAACCACCATTGACAGTATATATAAGGGCCCACCCATGGACATGATGTCCGCTGTCCTCCGTGGGCCCTTGTGATCAGATGGACCCCAGTGCACCAGCAGTAAGTACACCACTGACACCTCGTGGCCCTGAAGGTGTGAGGATGTCAAATTTGAGCCATGTGTATCAGTCAGTCTCAGATTGCCCCGAAGGTGCAAATACAGGAGTTGATATCATATTTGATCAAGCTGAAGCCAAAATCATCATTGACTGATTGAACAACATGGTTCATTTAGTTTTCACATCAGAAGAGCAAGGCTTAGGAGTGTCAGCCAAATGGGCCCTTATATCAGCTGGGCCCGATGCGTTGAGCCAGCTGCACATATACCACTGACACCTTGTGGCCCCGACGGTGTGAGGATGTCAAATTTGAACCATGTTTATCAGTCAGTCTCAGATTGCCCCGAAGTTACAAATGCACAGTTGCATGCATCAAATTTGATCAACATCAAGTCACCAGAAATCATCATTGAATGACTGCACAACATGGTTCATTTAGTTCTCACATGAGAAATCACATGAAACAAACAGCCATATCACTCATGGTTAAAACTATGAATTACCATTGACAGTATATATAAGGGCCCATCCAAATGGGCTCATTTTAAGGAATTCACTAACTATAGCTCCTGTAAAAGTTTATAAGAACATATTTTTAATTTAGTCTTTTCCCTTCAATGTGAATTTCCTTAAAATGTACATGATTATTCTGATTAAATAATAGTAAAACAATAATAAAAACTCCCAAATGGAAATCATTGACAAACTGCAGTATGGTTTTCAGTATTACAACAATAAAAAGCTGATCCAAGTGAATGATTTCAGTGTATCCCTAATGTATGAACAGCAGAAGAAACAAGGTGTTTTTTGTTTCAACACAATATAACAAATCTGTCAATCACACTTCTGTGTATAGAGGATGCTAAATAGGCTAACAAGAAATACATATCAAGGTACATTAGGCAGCACCGTATCTGAAATTTACAGTCTTGTTAAAGGTTATATGACAGAGGAGGCTGGTCCATAGAGGCAGAGGAGGTTGCTTCTCCTCTATTTTTTGAGAGGCAAGAATGAGATAAAAAATATTAAAAGAGTAACTGGTTGAAATCTATTATATAAATAAATATATAAATATATTTTCTTCTTAGTCTGGCCCTAATACTCCGTCGTACTGTACTGTAGGCTACTTAAGTTGAATTTCTAATTAAACTTTTACATTTTTGTATTTCCATTTGATGTTGCTTTGTCACTCAACTCTACATTTTTTCCTCCACTACATTTATTTGACATTAGTTATTAGATCAAGATTTGATACAAAGGGTAATGTGACAATTAAAATGCAACACATTGGTAAAGTTTAAACCAGTCAGGAAGACACGGACCTGCATAATCGATAGTACTACTCATACAACTACGACTAATAATAATAATTTAATCATTGTTATTATGATTTCTATTAATAGTAACGATCAAGCCTAATATTTGAAAGACAAAGATAATAATTTTATTTATTTTTTACATTTATTCAGCATAGTGTTGCCAACAACAACAAAATGAGAAAAGGGGGAAAGGTATATTAAATTTACAACAACTACTCCAAAGACCCTTGCCAGTGAACAGGGACCACCAGACAGACCAGTGAGGAGCTGATCAGGACCAGTATCTTTACAGAGACCAGCTGGTCCTGACCACACGGATCTGCATAATCAATAATAATAACAATAATAATCATAATAATTCTGATATAGTGACAAAAGATTATGATCTCTGACATTTATCCAGCTAACAGTGCTGCCAAAACGACCGGAAAGGGGAGAAAATACTAAAGCCGCTTCACAGACCACAGGGACCACAGGGACCACAGGACGGATCACTGAGGAGCTGGTCAGGACCAGTATCTTTAGCGCCCCTAGTGGTTGTGACCACTGGTCCATGCCAGAGACCACATGGTCCTGGGACAGACCACGGAATCGGCTACAACTTAAAAAACTTTACTTTAAAAAAAAAAAATCTTTATCTTTTCTTTTATTATTTATTTTATTTCGTTTAATTATTATTATCTTTAAAAAAAAAATATATATATATATATTTTTTTTTTTAATGTATTTATTTGACAGAAAAACTAAATCGCTACTGTCTTGATTGACTGATTATGACGTAAACAGCCTATTAAAACTCTACAATAACACTGTTCCTGAATCAGTATCCTGTTCCGTAGAGCTGCGCAGATGCGGTGGGCGAGGAGCCGCGACATCTGACTCCAGATCGGTGCCTGAGAGACGACGTAATGACGTCGCAAGCCTCGCGGTATTTACGCTACCCAGAATCCCTCTGTCTTCCTTTCTGCCTGAACCGACATGGTGAGTACATAGCTGATCCTTCCGCGGAATTACTCCATCTGCTGTATCTGCCTGCATCCTCCTATACGCGCCTATTCTCCCATTGCAGATTGTACCTACGAGTTCTGTGAAGCCTGTTCGTTAATAATATGTCGATATTTAGTGCCGATGTTGTTCGTATTTGTGGTTAAAACTTGGTTAAAGTGATGGTTGTGTCGCCGGTACGAGCAGCGCTGTGGCTACTCATCAGGAGCTAACGTGGGTGAACACGCTTGAATTTCAGGAGCACACTCGTTGTTTTATTCGGATTTACTATGAATGTGAACACACAGGACTTAACCTCGGTGTTTTTATTTAATATTGCGACGAATAGAAGTGAAACAGGTGTTGTAACTTAATGTGCGAGTGTATCCGGGTGGTTTACCTGCTGGTGTTAAAGCTAATGGGCCCAGGATTAGTTAGACAACGTTTTCAGTCAATGGTAGTTTTGTATTTATATAATTTGACAGGGTCTTGATTTGTAAGCTGTAACTCTGTAAGCTGCACCGTCTTTAACTTGGTTTGTGTTGTAGGTTTGGTTAGCTTTAATTGCTGTAATGCTTTTTGCGGTTTACTCCCAAGTTTTGCTTTTAAGGCACTAATAGATGTTTAGTCTCAAATGTTTAAAAAGTACGTGCTTTAAAAGTAGTTTTGTGAATTATTTGAATGAGTTTGCATTAGATGAGGTTCACCGGTACACTGAGCAAAGGATGCTAAAGCTCAGACATGCTGGCAAATTGTAAGTCCAAGTCATGTTAGACTAAAATCTCAATAACAAAAGAGTCAAATCTTTCGTACTTGGAATACATTAAAGGTATAATTCAGGCTTTACATTTAAGGGTTTAAAAGTACTTTGTTTATAGGTGCACCTTCATTAATGTCAATGTTTTCTCTTTGACAGCCTAAGGGAAAGAAGGCTAAGGGGAAGAAGGTGGCACCTGCCCCTTCGGTGGCCAAGAAACATGAGGCCAAAAAAGTAGTGAACCCCCTGTTCGAGAAGAGGCCAAAGAACTTTGGCATCGGTAAGTACCCCTCGTCCAGGTGGCATTTTGGGAAAACCGGGCGGTTGTAACGGTGCAGATGATGTAAACGAGTATTTGCTATCTTATAACAATGACGACAATTTCCCACCAAGATCGCTGATGCACTTTAGATTAAAAAAAAAAAAAAGACTTTGCCTCAGTTTTTGGCCAAATGCTAAGTGTGGTGTTTGTTTTTGCCCCCGTAGGCCAGGATATTCAGCCCAAGCGTGATTTGACACGCTTTGTGAAATGGCCTCGTTACATTCGCCTGCAGAGGCAGCGCTCCATCCTCTACAAGCGTCTGAAGGTCCCCCCTGCAATCAACCAGTTCACCCAGGCTCTGGACCGCCAGACCGGTAAGTTTACAAGGTTTTTGGGATCAAGGGACGCACCTAAAGTCGGTACTTCACCGGCGTGCCTGCCTGCAGTGAGAACCTATTTCAGAGATGGTTAATGTGCTGTTTATTGTACCGATGTGCATTTGCAAATGATGTGAAGAATATTTGCTATCTGAGTAGCCGTGCTGACATCCCACCAAGATCACTGATGCAATTGCTGAAAATACGTTTCGCTTGTCATGTCGTAGAACCAAACGTTCACGTAGCCACTGTTTGGGTGGTTGGGAGTTAACTTGTGTTGTACTCTGTTCCTCCTCAGCCACACAGCTGTTCAAGCTGGCCCACAAGTACAGGCCAGAGACCAAGCAGGAGAAGAGGCAGAGGCTGCTGGCTCGCGCTGAGCAGAAGGCAGCTGGAAAGGGAGATACCCCTACCAAGAGGCCCCCTGTCCTCCGTGCAGGTGAGCAATACATAAAGGTGTAGCGCGTAACTAAAAACATCTACATCGGTTTAATTTCCTGGTATTAAGGAACCATGTTGTGATGTTTGTATAACTTGGCCTGAATGCAGTGATGACTCGAATTTCTTCACCTGAACCCTGATGCTTTTGAGCTTTTTAACCCTGAGCATTGGCCAATAATATCATTTTACATCAGTTGTAGTGTTCTCTGATTGCCTGATTAATTAAAACATTCCCCTCCCTACAGGTGTGAACACTGTCACCTCTCTGGTGGAGAGCAAGAAGGCTCAGCTGGTCATCATCGCCCACGATGTGGACCCAATTGAGGTAAGTTTGTCACATTTATTTTGGCAGCAGTGGGACTTAACCGTATTAGGCACAGTTCAGTCTAGAAAGTGGTCACTGGCAATGATGTATGAATTTCTTCACCTGAATCCTCTATGTGGATCAAAACACGAGCTTTTTAACCCTGAGCAGAAACCACAAAAACAATCGAGTTCTCTGGAATTGCCAAAAGTTTATAGTGTTACTTTGATACTAATATTTTCTTATGTTCCCCTGCTTTTCTAGCTCGTCGTCTTCCTGCCAGCTCTGTGCCGCAAGATGGGCGTCCCATACTGCATCGTCAAGGGCAAGGCTAGACTGGGCAGACTGGTGCACAGAAAGACATGCACTTCAGTTGCCTTCACACAGACAAACCCGTAAGTTTGCACATTAACTGAGCTGTGACAGATTTTGACAGTTTTTATTTTTTTACTAGTAACAGAACTGTTACAGGCCAAATAAAAACATTTGAGACTATTAGTCTGGAATATAATATGTAGAAATGCGTGTCTATAAAAATGTTGGTACACAGCAGAAGTTTCCAATAATTATCACACATACGAGACCAAGTAGTTAATTTTACTGGATGTTCAAAGACTAAACGCAATATTGAGACAGGAGCAAAGTTGTGATCTTTCCAAAGCCTACAAATATTTAAAGATGTACCTACGTTATCCCAAAGTTGCTGTGATGACCCAGTGATGCCTTGTATCTCCATCTCTCTAAACGGTGCGAGCATTGTATTAACTAGCTTTGTTCTCTCCTAGTGAGGATAAAGGTGCACTTGCCAAGCTTGTGGAAGCCATCAAGACCAACTACAACGACAGATATGAAGAGGTGAGCGTTCATTTACTAAAGCATCTCCAAATGAGCCAAGTTGCATATTGCTATCAATGCACAAATTGCACCATTTTAATCCTCATCACTTATTTTATTTTTTTCCAGATCCGTCGTCACTGGGGAGGCGGCATCATGGGCCCCAAGTCCACAGCCCGCATCACCAAGCTGGAGAAGGCAAAGGCCAAGGAACTGGCTACCAAGCTTGGTTAAAATGTTTGGAATAAAAAATGTATGTCCTAATGGTATTGAGATTGTTTTTATTGTTGCAACTAAATATATATATTTTGGAACCCAGTTACACTGTAGATTATTCATTTTCAACACTAATGTGAGGACGGTATGTTTAAATTGGACTGTTCAATACAGTACTGTACTGAGTAGAAAGTAGGGATTAGAAGTTGTATTGCAGTATTCAGTTACCTGAGGTGTAAGTGATGCTATTAAGACTAAAGTGTAAGTGGTTAATCTAGTGATGTAGTTATCTAAATAGAAATGGTTGAGTTAGGAAAAGGAGTGAGTGAGTTTTACAGAGAAGCAACTGATGACCTTTATTTGAAAGGGAAAACTGATTCATAGATTTAATTCTGGGACAATTAAAGTCTAAACTATTAACTTGAATTGACATGGTACATCCAAATGAGTTACTGAATCAGACCTTGAGACAAACTAATGTATACATGTAGAACATTAATTCAGTTTGGTATTTCACCTATAGTTCCCATCAGTATTAAACACAGAATATGAGAAGCAGGAGCCAAAATCAATGTATATTTATTTATTCTCAAACATGATTCAGGAGAATAATCCACAGCTATTTACATTAATATATGCAGCAGGTTGAAGCCAATATAATACAAATCCAGAGTATTTGAGGCTCTGATAGGTGCTCTTTAGTTATGTAGGGGGAGGTATACAAAAACAAATGCTAGAAATCTTGCAGTATAAATTAATTATATTAATTCATTTACAGATAGATTGCCTTTGTCTTTTTCCAAGGTTATCTGCACTACTTGACATTATTAAGCAAGATTTCCTGGATTTGTTTGAAGTATTGCAACAATTTCACTGCATGTAGATCACTTAAATCTTCTTGATGAACTTTGCAAACCACATGTAGGAGGTAGCTGCACACAAGCCATACCTAAGGGAAGAAAATAACAATAGATGCATTATTTACAGTATCACAGCATCCAATATTTAGTCTCAGAAGTGTAGTTAATTCATAAAGAAAGCTGCCACCTACCATGTTATTATGTACTGCATGTGTTCGTTCCTCAGCGTGACCCTGGTCTGTCCACCTATTGGTCCACCAGGAATGGTGCTCCCTGCATGATACGAGATACTCTGATTTACTTTAACACCACAATTAACATGATGCCAGTGTGTTTAACAGTTCTCTTTTCTGAACACATGCAGAATAATTATTATTACCAAGTGTATGAGCCAGTCCTATATTTAATGTGATATTCACTAGAATGTAGTTGAGCCAAAGAGCATCATGGACTTTGGTGTTCATGAGATCTTACTGAAGTCAGCGTCAATGAAAATGGGCTCGGCTCCAGTGAGGCTGGCCATGGCCTCCAGGTCGCGGTAATGCCAGCGGTTCCTCTCCACATCGTTGTTTGGTACAAAGGGTTTGCGTATCTCTGTCAGCCTAACTACTCCAACCACCTCCACTTCCCCTTCCACCTGCACATAAGCATTTTTACAGTTTGTTAAATTAATCTGAAAAGGCTGCAAAGAAATATAAGTATGAATGAGCGACGCTAATGTGTAGCGGTTTCCTTTAATATAAACTGATTTTATCATGTTGGTTGTAGCTGAGACATCACATGGAAAGATTAGCTGCGACTATCATAACACACCTCAACTGCCAGTGTTTGAGTTGCATTGTGGGTAATGTAGGCACGTGGTTTTTATAAGGAAAAGGAATGTGTGGAATAAAAAGACAATATCTGCTTCTGTTGATTTCAATTATTTTTGTTTTCTTTTCAAATGTCCATTGTGAGACACTGCTATGGGGAGTACAATGTTAAAAAGTTGGAGTACTCTTTTAATAAAGAAGGTACTTCATGTGTCACATCTAAAATACTAACCTGTCCCTTCATCCTGGTCTCCGGTCTTATTTTCTGCCTTGGTACGTATCCTCTGTTCACCAGGATTGTGATGCTGCAGGTGAAGGTGACAAAGATCGGTGAGTGTTGGATGTAAGATGCAGTTAGCATTATTACTCCAGGTTTATTCCACTGTTGTCTTACCCGAGGTCAGTACAGTGGAACGGAGTGATGACATTTGCGCCGGTTTCTCCGCTTGAAGACAGCCTGCCTGCCTCTCTGGCCTCTTTCTCTGGGTCGACTGGTGAGCGGGGCAGAATATACAGCTCCTGTGAGTGGTCGAACTGTCCGCGCACTCTCACCCTTCTGTACTCTAGGCTATTCAGCTCATGAGGACTAAAGATCCAGGGAGAAAAATGACATGCAAAACTGCACATTGATAGGTAACATAGATACAGATTTTGAGTGCTACCCTGAATCGTAAGAGGAGGATTTGTTGTTAATTAAGTTATTGAAGTGCATTTTATCAAGGAGAAAACACAAATCAATACTGTCTTCTCATCTTCTCAGCTGGAGAGGATTGGTTGCTTACATACCAATATAAATACAATTCTTTGAAATGGATAAAAGAGAAAAAGGTAATTTTTAAGTATATTGCTCCAGTGTGCTGTAATATATATGAATGATGATTAAAAATCATTTTGACCATTGTATTGATATTATTTGGGGTATTTGTCTAAAGTCAAGCCTATTTTACACATGTAGGTAGGTGCCATTATTTATAAGTAAATTAACTATTGTGCTCTCTGTCTTAAGCCATT